GCAGTTTGAGTTTGCAGTTTATCGAAATAATTAGTGTACTCATAATAAAATCAATGAACCTGATAAATAGAGTATCAATCGTTATACTAAAATTTCTTATATTGAACAGTTAGTGTTTTACATTTTTTTTTTTTTTTTTTTATTGCTTAGTGGACGAGCTCATCGCCCACCTAGCGTTAAGTGGTTACTGAAGCCCATAAACATCTACAAGGTAAATGCTGCCACTCACTTTGAAATATGAGTTCTAAGGTATAGTTACAACGGCTGCCCCACCCTTCAAAACGAAAGGCATTACTGCTTCACGGCTGAAATAAGCGCGGTGGTGGTACCTACCCGTGCGGACTCACGTGAGGTCCTACCACCGGTAATTACGCAAATTATAATTTTGCGGGTTTGATTTTTATTACACGATGTTATTCCTTCACCGTGGAAGTCAATCGTGAATATTTGTTAAGTACGTATTTCATTCGAAAAATTGGTACCCGCCTGCGGGATTCGAACACCGTTGCATCGCTAGATACGAATGCACCGGACGTCTTATCCTTTAGGCCACGATGACCTCGAAAGGTATGTTACAATATATATTAGAAGGTTTTTTTTTTATCGCCTTATTGGTGAATTGCCTAGTGGCTTTGGCTACATTCATATTTGCATTTATTAGAGAGAGAGAGAGAGAGAGAGAGAGAGAGAGAGAGAGAGAGAGAGAGAGAGAGAGAGAGAAAGAGAGAGAATACACTTTATTGCACACCAAAACACTATTTACATTCAAAAGAACAATCAAAAAAACAGATACATTTGTACAATAGGCGGTCTTATCGCTAAAAGCGATCTCTTCCAGACAACCGTTTAATTTATAGAAATTCTGGAAAATATAAAAAAATATAGCAGGTATGTTGCGGTGTACTATAGATAATACATTATAGAAAATATATACATACAATAAACAAAATATATACCGTTTACATATAATATGAAATATATACTTATTATTATATACCAATATACATACTAATACACTTACATACACATAATACATCAACAGTATGGAAGTAATAAATGATGATGCAAACAAACAGCACTAAGAAGATAAGTAGTGTTCCTTCACCATTCTTTTAAAACAGTTTAAAGTTTAAAGTTTACTAGAGGTCCCGCAGTAGTCGAAATTCGACTATAATTAATTGGAATTGTAAGTTTGTACACTATTATGATTGTATTTTATACTTCTATAATTACAAATTTCGCAAAGACTACACTATAAAAATTATTAACAAAGACAAACAATATTTAATCTCAATTTGACAACAGACGTCAAGAACAAAAGTTTGACAATAAATAGTATGCATGCGTGTGTGCGTCAAATACATGGTATGTAGTGTGTGTAATGTTTTCTTTATTGATTTAATGTATCGTTTACGCATTATTTTAAAAAAATATTAGCACTGTGCACTTCTTCTCTGTATCCTCTATAAGTGTGGAAAATTTCATACTCCTCCGTCCGCGCAATTTTCGTAAAAAGGGATACAAAGTTTTTGCTTCACGTATTAATATATAGATTATTAGTTGCTTTTTATTTCCCTACCGCCGCTAACGCTATTGAATGAAGACACCGCTGTTGGTTCATTTACAACCAGTATCATGTCGTCATGCGTCTCCAACGTATTGTTACACGCTAAGGCTCGGTATAAGGTTTGAAGGGTGGGGCAGCCGTTGTGACTATACTGAGACCTTAGAACTATATCTCAAGGTGTGTGGCGCATTTACGTTGTAGATGTCTATGGGCTCCAGTAACCACTTAACACCAGGTGGGCTGTGAGCTCGTCCACAAATCTCTGCAATAAAAATAAAAAAAAATATAAAAAAATCACTTTTTTTTTCTCTATCCTGCAACTTAGTAATCTCTTTCTTGAAAAACAATAATCTAATCTGTTGTCAGATTTTCATCAGGAACAGTTGAGTCAGCTGAGTTGTGTCCCCAGTGGTACCATTCTCGTCTTATATCTGCAAATCTTTGTTGCTATAAAATTTAAAATTTATTTTGCTAAAAATTTCACTGAAGCACAATTCCTAAAACTCTATTTACAACTCTATCTACAACTCTTACAACACTTAAGGTACAGTTCAGAAATCGCAATTCACTTCCTCCGCTTCGCTTCAGGTGCCTTCGTGTCATCTCTGCAACGCGCTTAAAAACCTCCACGACATGTCTACAATTATCGAAAACATTTCCGATAGGACTAGTCGTTTTGATATATGTTTTTATTTGACAATAGATGGCGTTACACTTCTCGAACGTTCCCGATAGTACTAGTTATTTTCTGGTATTGGATGACAGATGAGCTTCTAGAACAGTGTTTCCCAATATTTTTTGTGCCATGCCCCACTGTAACATTTCTAAAATGACCCCCCATAGGCCCCATACATAATTTTTAACATTAAAAAAAATATCTGTTCACTTAAGAAACACAAACGATAGGCTTTGGGAAGAAATCACTATGAAATTGTTATCAGAACACAGTTAGTAATATTTAAAAACATACCTAGTCAGGTCATAAGTATTGTCACACAGTAAAAACTTTTCTTTTAGAATGCTGGCCACAAAAAAGTTTATTGAATTCGAATTTCGAATTTTTCATGAAAAAAAAATGTATACTTTTAAAATTTTACTCATTTTTAAATATGGAGTGGACGCTTAAAGAAGACCGTGTTGCAGTTATTGCGTTGCATCGTTGCGGTTACGCGCCAATTCAAATTTTTAACATACTGAAAAATTTGAATATAACCAAAAGATTCGTTTATCGTACCATCAAACGATACAATGAAGACTCTAGTGTAGATGACAGGTCAAGAAGTGGTCGCCCTCGGTCTGTTAGGACTCCAGCAGTGATAAAAGCTGTGAAGGCGCGAATTCAAAGAAATCCCAAACGTAAGCAGAAACTGTTGGCCCTTCAGATGGGGTTAAGCAGAACCACGGTGAAAAGGGTGTTAAATGAAGACTTAGGGCTTCGGGCATATCGAAGAAAAACAGGACATCGTTTGAATGCTCGTCTAATGGACCTGAGACTGAAGAGATGCCGCGCTTTGTTGAAGCGGTACGCGGGAAAAAAATATCGGGAAATTCTTTTTTCGGATGAAAAAATTTTTACCGTAGAAGAGAGCTACAACAAACAAAATGATAAGGTGTACGCACACAGTAGTGAAGAAGCGAGCAACCGTATTCCGCGTGTCCAACGAGGTCATTTTCCATCCTCGCTCATGGTATGGTTGGGAGTTTCTTATTGGGGCTTAACAGAGGTACATTTTTGTGAGAAAGGTGTAAAAACGAATGCAGTTGTGTATCAAAATACAGTCCTGACGAACCTTGTGGAACCTGTTTCTCATACCATGTTCAATAACAGGCACTGGGTATTCCAACAAGATTCGGCGCCAGCTCATAGAGCGAAGAGCACACAAGACTGGCTGGCGGCGCGTGAAATCGACTTCATCCGGCACGAAGACTGGCCCTCCTCCAGTCCAGATTTGAATCCGTTAGATTACAAGATATGGCAACACTTGGAGGAAAAGGCGTGCTCAAAGCCTCATCCCAATTTGGAGTCACTCAAGACATCCTTGATTAAGGCAGCTGCCAATATTGACATGGACCCTGTTCGTGCTGCGATAGACGACTGGCCGCACTGGCCGCACTGACAGATTGAAGGCCTGTATTCAAAATCACGGAGGTCATTTTGAATAAACTTTAGTGTCATAAGAATCCATGTTTTGTTAAGTTCATTTTGGTATATGAATGGTTACATAATGAATAAACTTGATTCAATTATTTTACATTAAACATGTGACAGAATTTATGACCTGACTAGGTATAATAAAAATAAAAGAAATTCATATTCAAAATAATTTTAATACATATTTTTTATATTAATTTAGTGCGATTGCCCTTAACTATCGAATTGCCCCCTTGCGAGGCGTGGGCCTTACCTTGGGAAGCACCGGTCTAGAAAGATACGCTGTCAAAATCGGTATCTTTCTGTAAACCAGTTCTCGGAATCCGTGTCTATTTAATTTCGTTTCGTAAATACTAGTACAAAAAGCTCAGCTTAAATTTTACTAAGTTGGTCCATTGAATTTGCAGCGTTATATTTCCTTATTTTATATGTTTTTCTTGGAATAATTGAATGATAAATAAAATACGATACATCTACCCTATGACTATGCTCATATACACATAAAAATCCTCATAAATTACAATATATTTTCGGAAGGGGAAAATAACTAAACTAGTACCAAGTATCCGACCAAGTGTCTAAGCAAATTGTCACAATTACCCTCTAAGAAGTTTAACGACAAAGGCAAGGTCTTTGGTAGACCAAAGATCCGAGAATATTATTGTTCCGAACTTATATGTAAGCTTATCTTGAAAATGTCGTAAGCGAGATTCAGCCCTCTGTTAAATATATTGTGTTGAATGATAACTACCGCCACAATCCAGATTTCTTATGGAACCGAATGTGGAAAGTGGGTACCAAATCGTTCAAAGAAATAATACCAGATGTGTTTATCATAACGCTTAACAAAGAAAAAGCAACTTGAGGTGCAGGTTATATCCAAATTCATTTCTGTGCAGTCCCTCTCCTGACATATCCGAGTGACAAAAGTTCCTACGGACAAGGCCCAGCCCCATAAATATCTTTATAGAAAAATTTCTGTTTTCCTTGTCTAGTAATTTTGGATAATTTCGATCTAAATCTACTGTTATGTTTGAAAAAAAATTGAATGTGTAATGTTACCGCTTACAAAACCAAAATGGGCAGGAAATATGTTAAAATATGTATGTATATCAAAATTCATCAGCAAAGCATAGAACTAAAGCTCTTAGCTTAATATTTGCATTTGAGACGCTTTATTTAGAGCGAAGACCACTGACGGATGTTTCAAGACAAATTAGTAAGTAAGAGAATTAACTGATAAGTATTTTTATTAACACATTAAAATAACATCATTAAATTTTAATATGGGTTGGCAGCACCGCATCCGCAGCCGCGATTGAAGCTCCTGCCTAAAGGAGCACCAGCAGGAGCATAGTTAATGGCAGGAGATATTACGCTTTCCACTGTTATCCCAACAGCTCCGTTACCACACCCATAGTCGATACCACCGGTACCACCGGTTCTGAGTTCGCCGGCTATAGACGCAGTACTCAGGAATGGTAGGTTACCACATATACCAACGCCGCCTTCGTATGAATTTTCAGAAGCTATGCCCAAGCCAGTGGGAGCGGCAGAAGAAGTCACCACAGCAAGGGTACCTCCGTGAGAGGCTCCAAGAGCGCTGGCCGCTACGATATCATCTCCGAGACCACCACAGCCGAGGCGACCATTCCATCCGTATCCGGCACCGTCGTATCCCAGACCGTCGTAACCAAAGCCATCCCAACCGCCACGGTACCCTCCAAGACCGGGACCAGCTCGGCCGACACACTGGCTCAAGGCAGACTGGAAAATTATAATGATTAGATAACTTTATCTAATTGTACCCTTCGTACTCGTATCGAACTCTTTGGTCCAATGTTGACGACATAATTGTCATATTTCATACGTGTGATATTTATAGAAAAAATTATTAATTCTAAAGTCCTTTAGTAACTTTGTTACAAAAAAAAATCGGTTGTCTGTAAAGTCGGTTTACTGACGATAGTTGAACGGAACAACATCATAAGAAATTACGCCTCAGAGCGAAGTAACGCCGCATGAGTCATAATTTTTCGTGCGTGCAGCCGGCTCCATCGAATTATTAGACGTTGTCACGTCAAAAAAAAGAAAAAAAAAAAGAAAAAAATTATAGCAGAAAACTGTACCGATATAGGATTTTTTAGATAATCAATAGGAGCATCGCAAATTTACAATTGAGCTTTCGATTTCATACTCATAGGCAGTATTTAAGTTGTAGTCTTATAATTCCAATTAGATACCAAGCGAAGCGTGAATACGTTCGGCTAACGGAAGAAGAACAAGAAGTTCGGCAGAAGTACATATTTGAAACGCCCTTATAATCGTCCCGAACTCCATAACCGGCGTCTGGTGTAGTGATAAGTGACATGGTCACTACACAAGGGGGTCGCGGGTTCGAATCCCGCCTAAGATATTTGTATGATAAATATAAATGTCTTTTCCAGGGTTATGGATGTATATTAAATATTAAATATATGTATGTATGTGTATAATAAAAATCTCACATTTATTTCCGTTATCTGGTACCTGTAACACAAGTTCTTTACGAACTTATCACGGGACAAGATAACGTGGCGTGATTGTTTAAAAAAAAAAACCCCAAGTGGATCGGAAGTACATTCCACGTCAATGCAAAAATGATCTCTCCTTATCATTTGTATAGTGAAACTAATTCCAATGAGTGTGATTTTTTGCATTTAGATGCGAAATCAACTCGTGTCAGCTTGGACTTTCTTATATTTCAATTCACTCAAGGAATAATCTTCTTAAATCCACTCACCTGAACAAAAAGTGCTGAAGCAAGGACCACAATACCCCTGAACGCCATTTTATTTGATCAATTGAGGAACAACTTGCGAATACACAACCTTTATATCAAATCTCTTTTATATATATCAAAATTGCGACATTAACGTATATGGATCACGCAACTCTGATTGTTTCTGTATGTAATTCAAAGACCTTACCCAATTTTGGTACTATCTTTGTGTGTTTTTCAATACATCAGTGCTTTTTATCTTTCAGTATAAAAGACAGTTGTTAATAGTTCAAAACATTAAGATTCAAAGGCCCTCAGAAGTTTAACGTCATGTCTACATTCGCTGTCTTACTCCTTTGCGTTCAGGCTTGCTTGATCCAAGTAAGTTTTAACAATGCCAATTAATGTCTATTATTAGGCCAGGTCTTTACAAGATCCCACACTGTCCCGTGTTTGTAGATCTTTGAATACGTATAAATTTACGGTTTCCGTGGCTTTCATGATAAAACGTCCGGTTTTCTCGTATCCAGCGATGCGACCACGACTTATTCTAACAGCATGTAATGGTAATGAAAAGAAATTCATCCCCTTCGAACAATGCAATATCCATGTATAATTGGAACTTTATAACACGTCCATTTCCATGTCCTTATGCCAGCAAATACTTCTCTACCCTCTATCTGCAGTATAAATAATCTTGGATATCTTCTTCCAGTCTTTCCACTAAGATCTGCCTGAGTACTGATAGTAGTCATTTTGTCTTTCGAGTTATATTAATTATTACCGGTATGTTGTTTCAGAATGTGTACAGTCAGTGCTTGGGTCGTGTGGGTCCCGGTGGACCTCCTTTAGGTCCATATGGCGGACCTCTCGGTGGGCCTGGGTACGGCCCTGTCGGGTACGGTGGCTGTGGAGGGTACGGCGGCTCCGGCATCGGTAACGTGGCCGTGGCTGGCGAACTCCCCGTGGCCGGCTCCACCGGTGTAATGGGACAGGTGCCCGTCATCGGCGCGGTCGAGTTCGCGGGTCCTGCCTGCGCTGTCGGTTCTGTCTCCATCTCTGGCGCATGCGGACCCACCTGCGGATGCGGCGGTTCTCCATACTATTAGCAATCTATATTGTAAATAATTAAGTGTTATTTTAATCAAATAAGTAAAATGTTCGATATATTCAATTCTTTTATTCTATAAAACTTTATTTTGCGGTTTGAAAGTGAGCGACCTAAATAAGTATGTTTTCCATTGGGAGCATGTAACGAAAAGTTGGAAATTGAGCTAAAGGACAATGCCCCAAAGTGGGCCAACTTTATGTCTAAACTATTGTACTTGAAAAACTATGCCTTATTTTTTCACGTTGTTTAGTTTATATATCAACATTTCTTTCACCCTGGCATTGTTTTACAAAAGAATAAATTACTTATTTGATAACATCCCAAAACGGAGTGCCATAGTTTTTAAATTCGCCAATAGGCAAAGGGCTTAGCCCATATAGCCTTATAGTAAACCTATATGCTGCCACACGAAAGAGTTGTCTGTGACTTGAAAACAAATTAAAAACAATAGCTAATGGCAATAATTCACAGACTTTTTAATTTATTTTTGTTCAATTCCATATTTATATATTGTAATAATAATTATTACTTAAAACCATGAATTATTTAATATTTTTAGATATTAATGATTTTATTAGTACAAATCTCAATGGCCTACCATTACTCTATTCTTATTATAATTGTTATGATCAGAGAGTTTTGACAGCAACCCGAGTGAAGCGTCACTTGAAGTTTTTTTTTAATTTTTTTTAATAGTTTATTGTGATGTATAATATATAAATTGGGTGTTGTTTTGTGTATTAAACGAAAATAATCGTTATTCACGATTATTGAGGCATTGGAATAAAACTGTGGCTAGCATAGCAGTGACTGTTTTTTTTTTCAAGTTAAAAGGTCTGTGGAACTTTGCGCTCACTCAATGTGCTATTCAACGAGTTGACGTCAAAACTCCCAAAAAGCAATAAAAAGAGATACACCGGCTTTTTATTGACATTAAAAAAATATAACTATGACAGCCTAGGCTGTATAGGCTACGCTCTTTGCCTAATTATTGGCGAATTTAAAAACAACAACAACAATAACGTTGCCGGCTTCCGGATTTTCATTTCATTTTATTATTATTATGAGGATATAATAATAATGAAATGTACGTAAGGGCTTATTCCTAGCAACATTAACCACAATTAACTTATTTAATACTGTAAATAATGATGAGAGCGATTATTGATTTCGAAGAAAACAATTAACAACTTAATTTTAGCTGCAGAAAAAAACAGATTTCTCTTAAACCTGGGTGAGAATATAAAAATCGTTTTCTGAATATGAAACGATATTTCTTTGTCTATCAAATTAAGTTAAAACCATCATCACCGGATTCTATTGTAGCAACATCATTGCCTTGTGGTACAGCAGCATCAGCAGTACGCTTAACTACTGCTCCTACCCCATCAGCTGCATCTTTTCCATGAGCAGACTCAGTATAGTTCCAAGTAATCCATCGAAATACCAATATAATTTACTGATGACATAAAACATAGTTTTATTTCTATATTGGCTACTTGGGGAATCAGATAAAAAGTGAAGAGTAGTAATATTGTTATTAGCCAATTTGACAAATTTTAGTAGCGGTATAAGATGGCCCCATACCGCAGCAGAGTCATGACGTAGATTTTAACTTACTGTGCAAAATGATGGGATTTCGAAGTCGTCATGGCCTAAAGGATAAGACGTCCGGTGCANCAGATCCAATAACCTTTGCATTAGATGCCTTCAGCTCTAATACTAGGGGCAGGCTTAGGGACCCCGGTAACCGTACTCGTCGAACTCGACAAAGAGGTCGACGTGCAACCTAACCCATGCATCAGCCCGCTGAGTTTCTCGCCGGATCTTCTCAGCGGGTCGCGATTCCGATGCGGTAGTAGATTCATTCGCGAAACAATTGCTCTTGAGTTGTTAGGTCTCCTTCGGAGGCGCTCGGGCAGTTGTTAGCAAATCCCACCCCTCTTGGCTGAGCCTTTGCTCGCCCACCTGTCCTGGTGAAACTGGAAAGGCCTTCGGGCCACCAGTAAACTTTCAATCATAAAAAAAAAAAAAAAAAAAAAAGTATAGTTCCAAGTAATGTGTTTTAATCCATCGAAATACCAATATAATTTACTGATGACATAAAACATAGTTTTATTTCTATATTGGCTACTTGAGGGAATCAGATAAAAAGTGAAGAGTAGTAATATTGTTATTAGCCAATTTGACAAATTTTAGTAGCGGTATATGATGGCCCCATACCGCAGCAGAGTCATGACGTAGATTTTAACTTACTGTACAAAATGATGGGAATGAGGCGCTCGCTCCTGGCCTTTTCATTTTTCATTATTATTATTATTTTTTTAATTGTATTTTTTGACTTGTTTTTTCTTTTATTGTAAATATTTTTATTTATTTAAAAAAAAGAAAATATTTGAGAAAAAACCAAAAAAAAAAAAAAGCCCGCTGAGTTTGTTTCGCCGGTTCTTCTCAGGACTGTGGCTTTTTTTGGACCCGGTGGTAGAGTTAACATTGTTATTTGTATTTTGACATTCAACAAGTGTGTCATACTGACGTCTAAGTTGAAATAAATGATTTTGAATTTGAATTTGAATTTGTTAGTGAACTTACCTTCCTTATCTATGAAATAGACGACAGCAGTTTGCAGTGACAGCTCTTGCCTACTTCCCCCAAAATGAAAAGCCTGAACTTCAGACTCATATTTTAAAGCATGGTTTTTCACTAAAATCTATGTGAATGATACCTTCGTTATCCTTAAGATTTTCCCTTAAACCCTTCATTGCACTAAATTCCCATCTGCGCAGCCCTTCATGTTTTAGAAACTTTGGAATCATCTGTTCTAACAGCTCAACAGCTTCTTCAGGGTTAGTTGTTATTTTTGTTTTTGATATTATTCTTTTATTTTTCTTAATGCCTTTGGATTCATTGACTGGTTGTAGAATTTTGCCATTGTTTGAATGTTATTAGGTCCTTATTATCAAATTCTTCGTAGCAAATGGTTTTGTTTTCGCACAAGTTACAACGATCAATAAGACATTTATTTTTTCCACAACAGAGAAAATTGACTATGTCATTGATGCTGGCGTGTTTTATAATTCTTCTTTTGTACAGAGCCTGAATCAATAGTTCCATATTTGCATGCATTTTACAAACACATGTATCTCTTTGGCTTACACTTGGAATCAATACCCAATATGGGCGTTGTTTGCAAAAGTAAGAATAACTCACTGTTCGAAATTCGGATTCAAATACTTTATGCAGGTTCTTCATGTTATCTAACAAATACCTCTTCTACTTTCTCTCCTTTTGTCGTGTTAAATACTCTTTCTTGCCTGCTGAAGCTCTAGAAACGTTGTCGCGTTCAAAAAAATCTTGTTCATCTTGTTTAAACTTTTCGTATTAAATTTTTTTTTGTTGGGGCGGGTTCTTCTCTCTCTGCAAGAAATTCTGTGCTTCTGACAAAACTTTATGCTTCTTTAAAATGTTTTTTTACGCATAATTGTATAGTGGAATGCTCTTTTCTCAGTATTTGATTTTAGAGCTTTGTAGCTGCCTTCTAATGTCTTTTTCATAGCCTCCCCAAACAAAATCTTTTTTTCGCTTCTTCTATTTTTGTTTTATCCTGCAGTGCAGTGTTAGGATTAGGTAGATAGTGTTAGGATTCTGTAAGCGTTTCCTAAGTCTCAGAATTGTTTTTTTGTATTTGTTTTTTTTTTCTTTCTTTAATAACTCTATTTATATTTTATCTTTTTGTGCCTTATTCGCCATATATTTCTTCAAAGTTCTAATTTTTTTCTTCAAGTTTTGGGTTAAAGATTCTTTGTGGTCTATATCTAGTGATGTAGAAGTTTGTGGTGTGTTAAACGAGTTTCTAAGTTCATAACTGTTTTTATCATCGACATTGCCCTCATTCGTGGAAACTGGTATAAAAACTTCTTCTGTTCTTTTCTTTTCTAAGTTTTCTCTGGTAGTGTCTTCCGAAATTTTCTCTCCATTTCTCTCTCTGTACTCTTCTAGCTCTTGGGGTCAATTCAGAAGCACTTAATATTTTCTTTTCCTCTTTTCTTTTTATATATCTCTTCCTTTCCTTCTCCCTCTCTAAGGCATATAAAGCCGGATCTGCTTTTAGGTTTGCATATCTGTTTCGCCGTGCAAGTCGGGCTTTTGCCAATGTCTCTTCGTGTGACTGCTTTTTCCGCGGCATTTTATCTGTAATATAAATTGATATACTGTGGAGTAGATCCTATAGGTTTCCTATAAGTGCTACTGTATCTCATTTTATTACATTACTTCCATGCTAAAAATATGGTAAGAATATATCCCACTGCTAATGATTCTCTAAATATTTAAGAAACGTGGTGTAGCATATATGTAGGTCTAATGGTTTTGGAGCGCATCATTATTATTATTATCCATTACTATCCCATTGGTCTCTTCTCAACTATTTTAAGAATTAGGAGGTATTAGATCGTAATTCGCTATGAGAGCACTGGTAGCCCAGTGATTACGGCTTCAGACTTACAATTTGTAAGTTAAAGGTTTGAACACCACCCGACGTACGTATTTTGGGGACATTTTATCGTCACCATTGCTCCATAACGCCTCAGAAAAACATCGTGAGGTAACCAGCGTATCCTAGAACTAATCATTCAAGGACATGTGACATGCACCAAATAGCATTTTTTTATTTTTATTTTTTATTGCCCTTGTAGGCAGACGAGCATACGGCCCACCTGATGGTGAGTGGTTACCGTTGCCCATGGACTTCGGCAATGCCAGGGGCAGAGCCAAGCCGCTGCCTACCGCTTAATACTCTCCACAAGCCTCATTTGAAGAAGGACATGTCATAGCGCTCGGGAAACACCGTGGAGGGGAGCTCATTCCATAGCCGGATGGTACGTGGCAAAAAGATCTCTGGAAACGCACTGTGGATGACCGCAGTGGCTCCAGGTAGTACGGATGAACTCTGCTCCGATGGCGGGCGGTGCGATGGTAAAAACGAGATGCCGGTATCATCTCGAACAATTCCTCAGAGCACTCCCCATGGAACATACGGTATAAAATACAGAGAGAACCGAAGTCCCTCCGCAGACCCAGAGGCTCCAAACGATCCGTGAGACTGGGATTGCATTGAGCATTGACCAGTCTCTGTGGATTACGGTTTTGCAGCTAACAAGTCATACCTATACCTATTTATTTAATAAATATAGATAGAAACAAAAAAAGCGACGATAGAGATTATATTTAATACAGCTGTACAAATATCAAACCACTACTGTAAGAGAAGATTGATAGTGACAGAAAAAAAGGGAAGAAAGTGCTATGTTGCGCTTTTATTGAAAATTGTAGTGATTTAGTCATTTACACGGCAGTTTACATATAGCATTTATTGAAACAATATAACATTTAAATAGAAAAAATACCTACTTAGCATTCCAGCTTGCTCCTTACCATTCGGGTAAAATGTGAAATTTGTCATACCCCTACATTTTAAGCGTGATCCACACAAAAAATCCTTGACATAATGTCTATGGCAAAACAACGCTTGCCGGGCTAGCTAGTTAAAGCAGCTTAGGACTATAAAATACAATTTATAGTCTTTACTTTGAAAACAAGTTGTTCCCTGCAAACTTAACAGTTTATTTTGTTACGACCTTAACACGCCATGACCTTATCAACATATTGAACGCTATCAAGAAATTGGAAATATTAAAAAAAAATATTTCCCAAATTGGTAATACTGATACCTTATCAAAGCTTACTTAACTCCTAGGCAATTCTTTCAATGCAACTTATTTACCAGTTTAAAGCCACATATAAATATCAGCTAGGGATGCAAAATGACATTCGTTTCTTGTCTTTGGAGGGTAGACCTGAACAAATATGACCATTATTGTAGTTCTTCTTTGCACCTCAGCTCTTTTCGTGCAGGTAAATATGTAACCTCGATTAATTATTTTATAACATTCCTAGTTAGGCTGGACCTTTTCCAATCTTGCTTCAGATCGATTAGTCCGTTGTTTTAAACGATTCCTAGTTAGGTTGGATCTTTTCCAATCTTGCTTCAGGTTGATTAGTGCGTTATTTTAGACAATTCCTAGTTAGGTTGGATCTTTTCCAATCTTGCTTCAGGTTGATTAGTGCGTTATTTTAGACAATTCCTAGTTAGGTAGGATCTTTTCCAATCTTGCTTCAGGTTGATTAGTGCGTTGTTTTAAACGATTCTTAGTTAGGCTAGATCTTTTCCAATCTTGCTTCAGGTTGATTAGTGCGTTATTTTAAACAATTCCTAGTTAGGTTGGATCTTTTCCAATCTTGCTTCAGGTTGATTAGTGCGTTGTTTTAAACGATTCTTAGTTAGGCTGGATCTTTTCCAATCTTGCTTCAGGTTTATACAAGTAGCTATTGCCTGAAAGCATTTAAAACAGATACCAAACAGCTTTTAGAATTCCTAAATATTAAGTAATCTTTAATTAAAATCACTGAACTTTTCGGAAAGGTATTATTATTTTTATATACCGTCCACTTTTCACATGAGTTGCGTGTGTTCTATTACCTATATAAGAATTAACTAGCTAAGTACGGTCAGTATTGAATGTATATCGGGAAAATTCTAGTTTATTTACCAGATCCTGAACCGGGTAACACTTGAAACAGAGTTCTGATACGATTCGCGTACTAGGTCAAAAATATTCCTCATTGCCAACGATATCGGTATTTGTGCTTGATATATTCCACAGCTTCTCTCCTATTAAAATACTTTGGAAAACAAGATACAAAATACTGACTTTGAAAATTACGTTTAAAAATACAATACAATAGTGAAATACTTCATAGATGCCACCAATACATTTCGACCGACTATACCGAGGCCTTCAGGGTCAAGTCTTGTTTTGAAAGGATTGTCAGTTGTTATAACTTTTCGAGTGCTGATTTTAGATTAAACAAAGAATACATCTATACATATAAAAGTGAATTGGTGTTCGTTAGTCTCGCTAAAACTCAAGAGCGGCTGGACCGATTTGGCTAATTAGAGACTTGAATTACTTGTGGAAGTCCAGAGAAGGTTTAAAAGGTAGATAAATATGAAAATGCTCGGAATTAAATAAAAATAACAATTTGGTTTTTCCTTTGGTGTCCCCCCCGTCGGACGGATTCCTTTTGTTTGTTTGAAGTTTATTTTTATACAAAAGTTTAGGTCTTTTATTTATCGATTGAGGAACTACGAAGTCTGCCGGGTCAGGTAGTATAAAATAACGGCCGTCTGGTGTAGTGGTAAGTGACATGGTCACTATACAAGGGGATGCGGGTTCGAATCGCCAAGGGAAGATATTTGTATGATAAAATATATAAATGTCTTTTCCAGGGTTATGGATGTATATTAAATATATGTATGTATATAATAAAAATCTTACATTTATTTCCGTTATCTGGTACCTGTAACACAAGTTCTTTACGAACTTATCACGGGACCAGTTAACGTGGCGTGATTGTTAGTAAATATTTATTTACTTATTTATTTAAAAAAAAAAAANGGCAGAGCCAAGCCGCTGCCTACCGCTTAAACAGAGAACATTTACACAGAGAACATTAAACAGAGAATAGTTATAAAATAAACCAAAAACATTACAACGTACATATTTAAAACTATGTTTTTATTTCAGTTAGCTTTCAGCCAATGCTTGGGTCGTGATCCTGTTATAGGATTTGGAGGTGCCTACGGCTCAGGATGGGGAGGCTATGAAGCCATTAGTCCATACGATGGCTTGGGATACAGCGTACCTTATTCAGCAGGGTTTATTGGCCTGAGTCCTAGCAATTTAGCTGCGTCGTGTGGTGGTGGTCTGGTAGTCAACAGTCTCTCTCCCACTACTCCCACGGGGCTGACTGTTGCTTCTGAGAATACAATTGAGGGTAACGTGGGAATTTTCGGTCAGCTACCTTTCCTGGGTGCAGTGGCTACGGATGGTGCGTTCAGTACTGTCGGCATTGGTGCTGTTCTCTACGGTTGTGGTGACGGTGCTATCGGCATAGTTTCTGAAGCTCCTATTGTTGCACCAGCCCCGATCGGCTATGGTCAGTGGCCTGTCAATGCAGGCTATAAAGGAATCGGGCCATGTGGATGCGGCGGGTTATACTGATAGTTCATTAATTTTTAAGAAAATTGTTGTTTTTTATGTTGATTTGTTCTTATTAATTTAAATAAATAAAAATATATGGATAATAGTTTTGTGGTTTTTTGCTTAACTTACTAATGAATTGAAAATTGATAATAATATCAGAACCATTAAATAAACTGGTGGTAGGACCACTTGTAAGTCCGCGCGAGTAGGTACCACACCCCTGCCTATTTCTGCCGTGAAGCAGTAATGCGTTTCGGTTTGAAGGGTGGGGCAGCCGTTGTAACTATACTGAGACTTTAGAACTTATATCTCAAGGTGGGTGGCGCATCTACGTTGTAGATGTCTATGGGCTCAAGTAACCACTTAACACCAGGTGGGCTGTGAGCTCGTCTACCCATCTAAGCAATAAAAAAAAACCATTAAATAATTAAATACTTGTTGGTAAATTTTGAGTATCCATTTTCGATTTTGTAGTAATTAATATGCCAATAAAGTCATTATTTTAAAAACGTAAAAGTGATTGTGATGAAAGATGGAAATGAAATTTTTAGAAGATATTCTCTTTGTCGTTCCGTCCAATCAAACTTTTTTTTTATTCCTTAGATTGGTGCAAGAACTCACAGCCACCCTGATGTTAAGTGGTTACTGGAGCCGATAGACATCTACGACGTAAATGCGCCACCCACCTTGAGATATAAGTTCTAAGGTCTCAGTATAGTTACAACGGCTGCCCACCCTTCAGACCGAAACGCATTACTGCTTCACGGCAGAAATAGGCGGGTGGTGGTACCTACCCGTCCGGACTCAAAATGCCCTACCGCCAGTGATTGTAGTGTAATGTGTAGAAAGAAATTTTAGTTAGGGCACTAACAAAAATAATTGTTAACGGATTATTTTCAACTGAGCCCATCGCTCGACGTTTGGGTTTAGAGTGTATTGTTTTTATTGCACTGTACAGCCCTGCTGGTGGTGAGTGGTTACGGTCGCCCATGGACTTCAGCAATGCTAGGGACAAAGCCAGGCCGCTGCCTACTGCTTAATACTCTCCACAAGCCTCGCTTGAAGAATGACATGTCATAGCGCTCGGGAAACACCCTGTCTGTCGTGTATGTCGTGACACTGCTAGATATCTCGGCCGCGTCAATCTAGAATAACCCCTAAGGCAGCCGGCGAATAGATAGGTAAAGAAAAAAACAAGGTGGGTAGTCGGGAATCCCGATTAAACCCTAATGACGTGCCTAACCCTAATGGGGTGCACGGTTAACATTTGCCATTGCTGCACACTTTAAGTTGGTAACGCGATAATTGTACTCCAATCAAACTGATAGATCTCTTAATATTATTAGTTTCTTCTGTGTGCAAAGACTTCTGCGAAGTGCAAAGGCCATGTTCTTTCTGTTTTCTGTACTATATATATATATATATATATTTTTTTTTTTTATTGCTTAGATCGGTGGACGAGCTCACAGCCCACCTGGTGTTAAGTGGTTACTGGAGCCCATAGACATCCACAACGTAAATGCGCCACCCACCTTGAGATACAAGTTCTAAGGTCTCATGTATAGTTACAACGGCTGCCCCACCCTTCAAACCGAAACGCATTACTGCTTCACGGCAGAAAATAGGCAGGGTGGTGGTACCCACCCGCGCGGACTCACAAGAGGTCCTACCACCAGTAATTACGCAAATTATAATTTTGCGGGTTTCATTTTTATTACACGATGTTATTCCTTCACCGTGGAAGTCAATCGTGAACATTTGTTGAGTACGTATTTCATTAGAAAAATTGGTACCCGCCTGCGGGATTCGAACACCGGTGNAAGAGGTCCTACCACCAGTAATTACGCAAATTATAATTTTGCGGGTTTCATTTTTATTACACGATGTTATTCCTTCACCGTGGAAGTCAATCGTGAACATTTGTTGAGTACGTATTTCATTAGAAAAATTGGTACCCGCCTGCGGGATTCGAACACCGGTGCATCGCTTCAACACGAATGCACCGGACGTCTTATCCGTTAGGCCACTACGACTTCAAATAGACTATATAACTCTTAGGGCTTGATTGTGGTGCAAGAGTTCGTCCATACTATTTTGACCCGCTGCTTTAGGCCACAATGCGTAACCAGAGAAATTTGTGGTCAACCTCCGGCTCCGAAGTAAAGTTCTTCCTATAATAGCTCGATAGTAGTTATTTTTTATCTACGTAATCGGTGTATTCTGGCTTCACTTTGTCTGGCGGGCGAACTCACGGAGCTCAACCTGAAATGATTTCCTAATAGATGCCATAGCAAGAGCAGTGCCGTAATCCGATAAGAAACTTAGTCTTTTGTATCTATATGTTACATTGGACGTTGAATTTCGACGAGAACGGTCATCGGCGGTAATGATACCATATTATGTGAACCGGTAATGTAACACAAAGGTTAAAAGCAAACTTGTTTCCTTTAGGCCGTTGACCCTGTACCTTAGCTAATTACGGACTTTGTTACATTGCGTGCTATGCGTAAAAACACTGCGAACACGTAAATTATTCCAATAGTATATTATTCAGTGTTATCGTATCAAGAACCACCAGGTCTTATCACCTCCAACAATACCAATCAACCAAAATATAGTTGTTGTTTCGTACTGAAACAGATTTTTCGTGTTTCTATATTTTTATTAATATCGAGTATTAGGCAATACATCTTCAAGACAACACAAATCTTAACCTAGGTGCAGTAAGGTTCGATCTCGCCTGTAGACGGCCGGCTAGCCAACCAGAAGCTTGCTGAGCAACCCCTCCAAGCCTACGGGCAGAGGTCGCCGTCGTATAGTAACTTAGCACACGCGTTCCGCGGCAGACATTCTTTATTACAAACAACAAAAATTATCCAACGCAAGTCACGCGTAACCATTAGAACCAGCGACAGTTGTTCATCGTGTACCAGTCAAGGGACAGACGGTCCCACCTCCGGAAACGACGCTGAGCCCACGGAGCGCGAGGCAGTGGAAGGAAGGTGAACCGGTAAGTCTTCAGACTTATTTCGTTCCTTACTGTACAGTTGTTAAAAAAAACAATATTTTTTTCCATTTTCTTTAATCATATTCTTACATTGTATTTCTAGTAAGAAGCACAGCCACATTCCGTACCTTGGCCTAGTAGCCCATTGACCACTTCCCGAACTGCAGGCACAGGGCTTGGTGCAATAGCAGAGATGGGACTTTCAGCTCTTATGGCCACGACCCCGTCCCCACATTGAGACGATATATGGCCAACACCAATGGACTTGAAGGTTTCTTCGACGGCAGCAGTTCCAAGGAAAGGTAGATTGCCGGTCACACCAACAGGACCTTCGTAAATGTTTTGGGATGACAAGGCAATGCCGGTAGGAGCACATGGGCTCACGCTGGTCACCGCGAAACTTCCTCCGTTAGACGCTCCCAGGGCTGAATTCGTTGCAAGGTCTACTAAGACACGGTTACCGTAACGGTTGTACCAGGAGCTGAAACGCGGTCCTTCGCCGCCCAGGCCCTCGTACCAGCTACGACACGAGCATTGACTGAGAGCGAACTGGAAATTTTATGAAAGGAAATTAATTTAAGATTAGTAAATACTGCTTAATCTGCTAGAAGCACCGTCCTCGTCTGGATCATCGAAGAGCTCGACATGAAAACAAGCCCATAGCATTAGTACACTGAGTTGCTCACCGGATCTTTTCAGTGAATCGTGATTCCGTTCCGCTAGTAGATGCATTAGCGAAACAGCTTCTCTTGATGTTCGGAAACGCTGTTAGCATTCTCATCCCATCAAACTGAGCCTTATCCCCCTGGAGAAGCTGCAAGGGTCTATGGGCCGCCAGCATATAATGTTTGAAGCTCTCGCGGCTATTTACATTACACACACTATTCTTTAATCACAGACCTTCGGGGTTGTTTTTAGGGCTATTTTTTTTTCTAAGATTTACATTAGTGAAGTGATTTTCGCAATCTCATTTATATTTAAACATATTTCATTTAGGACAATTTTACTCCTCATAAACACTCTGTTTCTCCAAGTCGTGTGCTGGAATAAGCTCATAAGTAAGCTAGACTTTAGCATTTACATGTTATTTTAGATATTATTTATTAAGTAAGCGTAGAAGACAATATACTTCTAGTAACTAATCTAAAAATTTAAATACTCACTGTTAGAAGTCCGGCCACGAAAAGAACGCAAGATTTGACAGACATTATTTCCTAAAAATTATACTCTACACAATACAATTGTGAGCGCGTATTTATACTCAATTTTTTTTAGGTTACAATAAACAACAGAAATTACGTCAGCGTATTTGCTGATAAAAAAATAAAATTCTTTCAATTATTTCCAAGAAACATTTCGTGTGATTACAATTTCGCAATTACATACGGTAAAGTTTGTTACGTAAGTAACTTTAAGGAAATTTACGAATTGAAATATCTCACTGCACTAATAGTAAGTAAGCTCTTTCACAATACAAACAGTGCGATTATGGAATTCTCTCCCTCAACCTATTCGTGCTAGTTCCTCTCTAGAAGTTTTTAAGAGTCAAACGAAGAAACATTTCCTGTCACTTTAATCGTATTTAAGTTATTGTTTTATGTATTTTTATTTATATACATTTTTCATTTAATATTAGATTATTTTTTTAATGCTTAGTTTAAAAATCATGCTTTAACAGCTCTTATATTGTACAGTATTCCCCTCTTATACATTGTATTTCTCTCTGCTAAGGGTTTGCTGGAAGAAAACTCATAAATGAGTTAAGCTCACCTTTGTAAATAGTATTTAGACATTCTTTAAATCTGTTTTGATTGTATTTTCTTTTTGTGTACAATAAGTATAAATAAAATAAAATAAGAACTACATAAGCACTAAGCTTCCAACAATATTTAGGCAGTATTCAATGATGCACGCTTTCGAAGCACGCGTGGCCTAAATGATAAGACGGCCGGTAAAATATCGAGCGATGGTGCTGTAGTTCGAATCCCGCAGTCGGATAAAAATTTTTGATGTGAAAAATCACAAACGACTTACTTATACAATGAAGGATTAATATCACCTAATAAAGCATGCTAAATTTATAATTTCTGTAATTATTTGTATAGGACTACAAGACAATTGTAGTGTGGCATATCATGTACTCGCAAATAACATCCCAATCGCTTCGGTTTATATGGTAGAAAGATTAGAAAGAGAGGTATTTGAGTGCGGCGATCCTCGGCGTTCTTTATAGCTTCGATTATCGGCAGGCCGGTGATCGTCTTTACTAGATCAGACCAGCGGGTAGGTGAACGTCCGCGTGATTTCTCCCGTCAACCTGACCAACTACCATCAGCTTCTCTATGTTATCGGGGCCTCAACGAGCGATGTGACCGAAGTATGTGAGAATACCTTGGAAGCAAACAGAGGATATATGATTGTATTATATATATAATTTTCTGACAGTATAAATAATACTAGTAGTCCCGCATAGTAAAAATTCGACAATAATTAATTGAAATTATAAGTTTGAACATTAATAAGGTTCTATTGTCAAAGACCATTTTATTATACCTCATTAATCACATATTTCGCGAAGACTACACTTTAGACAAATATTAATAAAGACTAGTGGTCCAGCAGTAGTCGAAATTCGACTATAATTAATTGGAATTGTAAGTTTGTACACTATTATGATTGTATTTTATACTTCTATAATCATAAATTTCGCCAAGAATAAATAGTAATAAGAATAAAAATAATAACAAAGACAAACATTATTTTATCTTTTCTCAATTTGACAACAGACGTCAAGAACAAAAGTTTGACAATAAAATAAATAGTATGCATGCGTGTGTGCGTCAAATACATGGTATGTAGTGTGTGTATCTGTATCATTTATGCATTATTTACAAAAAAAATTAATATTGTGCACTTCTTCTCTATATTCTCTATAGGTGTAGAAAATTTCATACTCCTCCGTCCGCGCAATTTTCGTAAAAAGGGATACAAAGTTTTTGCTTCACGTATTAATCTTCTATCTTATATACTTAGTCTGGTCATAAATACTGTTACAACTAAAAATAAAAAAAAATCTATTGCAAATAACATTTATTACTTTTACAGTGTGTTAGTTTAATACATAAATATAAAACAATTTAAAGTATGAAAGCTTATTCGAAGTGGTCTCCATTGGCTGCAATACAGTCCTTTAAACGTTGAGGCCAGTTATCAATAGAAGCACGCCGCACTCTTTCCATGGGTTTTTTTTTTATGGTAGAGGGGGTATGGGTAGAGGGCCGAACCTCCTACGAGACCCCCGCGCAAAAGGGTATGTTAGACTTTACGATCTGCATGGTGTTGTGAGCAGACTGCGGGCCCAAGGATTTTAGGGCCCACCCACTAAACGACTCCCCTGCACTCTTACACCCAACGTCCGATCCCCTCCGAGGTCAGAACCCGGATGAGGTAGGGGGGCTACCGCTGTCAACACTACAACCAGACGGCGCGGCTCACCCCAAGGACGCCCAGCCGACAGAGCCATCGAGGCGAATCGAAGGCTCTGAAAAGTCAGCCGTTTCGGTACGGCAGCCCGTCGGGCCGCCCAGACGGTGTCGCTGGTGTCCCGGAATACCCCGCTGGACCAGAACCAGCCTGCCGGGTCGGGACGCGATACACCGTCGACCGGTCGCTCTATTCACTCCACGGCAGCGCGTTAGAGTGCTGGTAGCGCGCCGTGCGGCCTCACCCCCTCAGGTCGCCTCTTGACCTTCACCGGGGGGAGGCCGCTACCTACAGGGGCCGGGACGTACGGGCGTATTCCCGCCTCCGGCCCCCGGCTCGACAGCGACGGATCGGTGCGGAAAGGGAAGAGCACTCCCTCTCTCGCTCCGCCGCCTTCTTCTGCAACATGGTGGAGTCGCAGAAGTCGAGCATCGCCTTCCAGGACGCGTCGCTGCCGAGCACCGTAGCCACGACGCGTGGCAGCGAGAGGTCCTCTCCAATGACCGCGACGAGGGCGGCGCGTTGCTCGTCGAATCCAGAGCAACGCGCCAATGTATGTTCCGCTGTGTCTTCCTCGTCGCGGTCCGCGCAGTGGTGGCACTGCGCCGTCGGTTCCCTTCCGGCTATCTTGTGCAAGTACCGTGGCCGGTAAGCATTTGCGTCAGCCGGAAGGTGAGGCATCCGCGGTCGCGGTCCACCCAGTCCGCGAGAACCGGGCGGACCGCCTCGACGGTACGGAGGCCGGCCGACGGGTCCGCCAAGCGGCGAGACCACGCCTCCAGCACGGACCCGTAATTGGGCCTAAAACAATGTTTTTTTTTATTGCTAAGATGAGTGGACGAGTTCACAGCCCACCTGGTGTTAAGTGTTTACTGGAGCCTATAGACATCTACATCGTAAATACGCCACCCACCTTGATTAAAGAAAAAAAAGCAATCATGCCTAAAGATAACTGTTATCTATTAGGCAACAAAAGATTTCCACGAATGAAAACATAATCAATATTAAACTGTTTTATAAAATTCTTTGACCATTATCAACGGGTCAGTGTATTACAAAAAAATACATTATCATAGATGCATTTTAAAAGTTACAAAATAAGATAATTAAATTTGCATCATCAAATATTTCACGTGCAGTATATTATATTAGGTATAAATAGGAAAAGCACTATTGCTTACACCAGTTCGCATAGAGCCAACATTAGAATGTCTCGCAAATACATCGGATTTATTTGCTACTCAATGATTTTTGTTCATGTAAGTTCTGGCTTATGTTTATTTCGTAAGATGCACTTAGACATCAGAATTAGAAAAATTCAGGATACTGATCACCGAATTGGAAATCTGGATACTATTTTTTTTTTGTTGCTTAGATGGATGGACTAGCTCGCAGCCCACCTGGTGTTAAGTGGTTACTGGAGCCCATATAAATCTACAATGTAAATGCGGCACCCATCTTGAAATACAAGTACTAAGTTCTCAATATAGTTACAACGGCTGCCCTACCCTTCAAACTGAAACGCATTACTGCTTCACGGCAGAAACAGGCAGGGCACTAGTGCCTACTCGTGTGGACTCACAAGAGGTCCTACCACCAATAAAAACTATTTCCGATTGACGGAAACTATAAACAATGCATTAAACGCTTTCAAGGTACCCACCTTCTTTTTCCGCAGTCGCTAAAACTCAAAATCTCTAGTATATAGGAAAAATAGCTTAAGTTTTTCAATTATTACGCGTAGTAGGACTTCTTGTGAGTCCGCGCGGGTAGGTACCACCACCCCGCCTGTTTCTACCGTGAAGCAGTAATGCGTTCGGTTTGAAGGGCGGGGCAGCCGTTGTAACTATACTGAGACCTTAGAACTTATATCTCAAGGTGGGTGGCGCATTTACCTTGTAGATTTCTATAGGCTCCGGTAACCACTTAACACCAGGTGGGCTGTAAACTCTTCCACCTATCTAAGCAATAAAAAAATTTACTACGGCAATGCATTTCATACTGATGTTCATTCTATAGGTCTGATGCTTCCTATACCATCGACATACCCAATTATAGTTGTAAATATTTTAGAGTATTTTGTACACGTGAGGTCGTCATTGAAGCAATTTAAGGTTATATTAGAAGGGGATTTATTCTTACCATGTTCTCATTTCGTGTCCAGATCACGGCATTTTTTGTCTTCACAATCCTAGGCACAATCAATATCTACTTTAAATTCCACAGTCTGCTTCGAGTCAACTGCGTGTACCCGGTTTTGGTTCGATACGTGGTGATTGGTCAGATGGTATCGGATACGGGGGCTGGAATAGCAGAGCTGGGTGTGCTGGTCGATCTCCAGATATCGCTGCAGCGGGTGCTCTGGGAGCCTCTAATGGGGGCAGCCTGGCTGTTATCAGCTCATCATCTACAGCACCCACTGGGCTTTCCGTGACATCCGAGAATTACTACGAGGGTAATGTGGCCATCAATGGAAATCTACCGTTTCTGGGCACCGCTGATGTAGAAGGCACTTTCTGTAGCTCTGGTTTTGGTGGCATCAACTACAGTTGCGGTGATGGTGCTGTTGGCATTACTGACGAGAGCCCCGTTGGGCCCATAACCACGACTGCAACTGCGCCTATCGCTACCACCAAACCGGGCTTTGGTTACCGTGGTTTCTCAGGCTATGCCGGTGCTGGATGCGGATGCGGAGGAGCGCTGTACTAATCAGGAACACCCTGTGATAATTACGTGATAAATAAATCTAATAACTGTTTTTATATTTTTAGTATGTTTTATTTAGCACTAGCGGCCCGCTCTGACTTCGCTCGGATCTTTAACAAAAATTTCAACGACGTTGTTTTATTTTTTTAAATAAAAAACACTTATTGCGGCATAGCTATAATAGTTAGACATATGCTGTCGCGACATTTTTTGTAAATAATAATATGTTCTACAATGTCTTAGTACATTATTTTATTCTATCATCAATAGTTTTCGCAGGGCACGCGATGTAAAGAATATTTTAGGTATGTTTTTATATCTTGGGTTACATTATTGAAGTTTTAGTAAGGATATCAAATTTTTTTTTTCAAAAAATGTTATAGCTCATGTCACTCGGTAATAGTGTAGCTTCCAAACAGTGAAAGAATTTTTCAAATCGATTCAGTGGCTTCGAAGCATATTCAATACAAACAATCAAACAAATTTTTCCTCTTTATAATATACTAGCGACCCGCCCTCGCTTCGCTTCGGAAACATTAAAACACACATGAAACCAAAATAAAAAATAATAAAAAATTAAAAAAAAGTAGCCTATGTTCATTAGGGACAATGTCGGCTTCTAATGGAAAAAGAATTTTTCAAATCGGTCCAGTAGTTTGGAAGCCTATTCGAAACAAACAAACAAACAAATCTTTCCTCTTTATAATATTAGTATAGATTACTTTATTCTATCGTCAATAGTTTTCGCAGGGCACGCGATGTAAGAATATTTTAGGTGATTTTCTTACACCTTGGGTTACATTATTGGAGTTTTAGTAAGGATCCCTAACTTTTAAAAAAATATTATAGCCTATGTCACTCGGAAATACTGTAGCTCCTAAACAGTGAAAGAATTTTTCAAATCGGTTCGGTAGTTTGGAAGCTTATTCGAAACAAACAAACAAACAAATCTTTCCTCTTTATAATATTAGTATAGAAAAAAAAAAAAATATTAGTATAGAAGTATAGATTAATATAACCATCTAATGTGTGTGTGTGTGTGTGTGTTTTTTTTTGTAAATAATAAAAAAAACATATCAGTTGCATAGCGTATTACAAAACAAATAGATGGGACAGCATCGTCTGATAAAAATCAAACCCGCTATGTCCTTTTGTGGGTTAGAGCTAAGAATGCACTCAAATAAAAACTCCTTGTTGATCGAAAATAGTTTTTTTAGGTCACTCGATCGAAACATTCCTCTAACGTTTTAGTATTCTGGTAGATAATAAAACAGTGATTCTGTATCTACGTATTTAATTGGCACATTTGTAATAGAGCCAGATTTTATTAATATAAACTATGAGTAAAATATGTTGACACTTATTAAGCGATGTCAGTCGACAATAGTCGGCTGCTTGTCGACAAATCCATGAGACGTATTTCCAAGAAGAAACATCCTAGCATATCGTCGAACCCTTTAAAAAGTCTATTACGTGTTATCACAAATATATTTTACTCTCGGCTACAACTGCGCAATCAAACGGATACAGCTTTATTTATTTATTCATAAAAGGCGCGATGTAGTGCAGTTTGATTTACAAACCGAACCAGTCGCAGTGCGATTTACTGCGCGGCTAAGACGAGCTACATCGGCCGCACCCACAAGGGGGAGTGCAGCGCCCAAGTATAGAAACGCTACCGGGAGCACAGGCAGTGCCACCGAATCTAAAAGAGCCGACGATGGGCACCTTGCTAGTAATGGTGGCGGTACCGACAACTGGGATCTCACCGCTGACGCCCATGTTACCGACTCCGACGCCTCCGTAGCCACTGCATCCGCCACAACTGCCACAGCTACCTCCGCCCAGACCGCTGTATCCCAACCCACCGTAGCCACCTCTCCCGGTGCACTGTCCGTAAATGCTCTGAAGAAAAAAATTCCATCAAAAGAAAGTCACTCACTTCAATTTATTAACATCCCTAGCGGTATAATGAATGATACACGGCCTTCAGCAATGAAGAGACCGCCTCGGAAGTATAAGTAGAAGCGGTCTCATGTTTTTGGAACTGACATATCATTCTCTCGCTCAACCTAACGCTACTCTAATCAGCTGCATGCGGCAGAGATGCGAATGTTGAGATGGATGTGTGGAGTGACAAGAATGGACAAGATAAGGAATGAGTATATCAGAGGAAGTGAGAAAGTAACCCCAGTGATTGATAGATTAAAAAGCGGACGGTTAGCGTGGTATGAACATGTAATGCGTAGAGACGAGATACATGTGACTAGAAGATGTATGAAAATCGTAGTGCAAGGTAGAGAGAGAAGAGATCGACAGAAGAAGACATAGGTGGAGTGTGAATGACAATATGAGAAAGAGAGGAGTTAGGAGTTGAGATGACTGTTAATAGAAGAAGATGAGAATGGAGATAGAAGAGAATGAAATAGCAAAATTCGCTGCACCGACCTAGTGGGATAAGGTGGAGACAAAGAAGAAGAATAATATATGTTCTCCATTTCTACGTATGTTTTACAACCCAAACAAAATTCAGGGTACCTCATCAAAGAGCATCTCTTCGATGAGGTAGCTTCTCTATTCTTCTGCAGTACAACGGCTGCCCCACCCTTCAAACCGAAACGCATTACTTCTTCACGGTAGAATTAGGCAGGGTGGTACCTACCCGTGCGGACTCACAAGACGTCCCAACACCAGTAAGAAAATTGTAATAGTGAAAAACTAAATCTGCCAAATACGGTGTAAGGTCTTGTGGCCCCTGTAGGTACCACTAACCTGCCAATTTTTACGGCCAGACAGTTATAGGTTTCGGTTTGAAGGGTGAGACAGTCGTTATGATATACAATTAGGGCTTAGACCTCATGTTTCAAGGTAAATAGGCGGTATTCAAGTTGAGACGAGCCAGTTTTCACTTAAAATAAGTTGGTGGTAGATTTGTTGGCTCATGTATACAATAAAAAAGGTCTAACATGAGCTACACAAACAAAATAAAAATAGAAAAAAAAAAACAGTTTCAATTGGGTAAAATGGGATTTCTAATTCTATCTAGTTCTCGATTCAGAAGACTTCAGAACAAAATTCAATTAAGTTACTTTAAATGACTCCCTGTACAGTTGCAAAAATGGCCCAACACCAATTGATCATTAAGAGAAAAGAGAAAAAAAAAACTCTATCGCCCAAGACACGATCAAAAATATAATTTAAGGTATACATACCGCAATCAAGCAAGTCTGGAGGCAGAGAAGGAAGACGAATGAGGTATTCATGTTAGTATCCTTAGAATAACAATACTTTCAATGGATCTTCTCACCATTATATACTAAAGTGATCATGATAAAGATACTGACGTGTCCGAATTCGCGAACAAAGACTCAAATTTTTCTGACACAGGATCCTCAGACTTAAATCAAAGCGGCTAAAGCTTGCAATTCCAAGACGTATTTGACTGAAGCTGATATTTTACAGACGATAGGCGGAATCGCATATTGGCATGCACGTTAAAAATTATCGCCATTTTGTTATTGGGCTTTTGTTCTTATTGTCGCTATTGACACGTTTTTGTGTACATCAAATCCTTTTAATAATAGATGCGTAGCTTATGCTCGCATTCGGAGTAGGCAAGCTCGTAGGGAAACAAAGGGAAAGAAGATTCGGTAAGTGACTCGCAAATTGATATCAATTCGTTTGTAAGCTACGCGATCATTTGAATGACCAAAAAAGGCGCCTAGTCAATCTATTTTTTTTATTTCCTACATAAGCTGGTAGCCTTGAGAGGCTATTCCAGCGTAACCTTAACTAGTAGGTGAGCTCACGGGGCTCAAACCTGACGACGGTCAATCTAATGTTCTAGTCGCCGCTTAAATAAGTTTTGGAACGAAGTTCCTTATGGGACGATGCGGAGGGGTACCCTAACCGGGAAAAAACGTCCGTAACGTAAGATTTTTATTAATAATGCACACAGTGTACGACTTAACTTTGTAATAACGTACAAATTAGTAATGCACACAGTGTACGACTTAACTTTGTAGTAACGTACAAAAAATAAAACATATTTTTTTATCATTCATTGACCACGATCTCAGAGCGTTTGCGCAATACACTAACTCTTATGCAAACAACCGTGAATGAAGTGTACCACAATAAATACGCACGTTGCCGAATGACCGAGAGTTGTTGCGAAAACTCCAGTTTTATTTTCTTTATACCTCGAATAGAATAAATTAATATTTTTATAATAAGGAACTTCGTTCCTATCCGGTGTCCCACGACACCACACATCTTTTTGTTTGTTTTAACTTTTGTTTTTCATTCCTATTTACTTCTACTGCTGTATATAGGTCTGCTCCAAGGCTCACCATAATAACCGGTCTTACGCAGACTCCTGCAGCGGATTTCCACTGGTCGTCACTCTACCGTCTTAACCACGCTGTGCTTTTCGATACGCAGCTGCCAGTCGAGAACTTTTCGACCCAACAACCATTTATTCTACGAGAAATGTGCTCTGCTCACTGCCACTTAAATCTTGCAACTCTTCAGGCTATATCAGGTACCTTATATCTTCTGCGAATCCCCTCATTATGAATACAACTTGTTGATAAAGGAGTTTGGTGCGAAATTGACCCTATTGAGAGATATGACTTCTTCTCGAAATTCATATTCTCGAAAATTTTTAGGCCTTTTTAGCTTAAACGAGTGAACGATCTCACGGCTGCCTGGTGTTAAGTGGTTACCGGAGCCCATAGACATCTACAATAATCTACGTTCTTAAAAATACTTTTTCTTTGACAGTGGTTAGTCATTATCATCAGTAGTAGGGAAATTGCCATTTTTATTTCCCTACCAATTCGCTGGTAGCTTAAGGAATATTCCAGCTTCTCGCAAACAGGTAGGTGAGCTCATGAGCTCAACCTGAGAGACACTGACTTGGCTAACACTACCCCTAGCAAAAGCAGTACTTCGCAAAATCTGCCACCGGATCGGAATTGAGACCCAATGAGAAAATCCGGCGAGAAACTCATTAGGTTCCGTCTATGGGTTAGTTCTCTCGTCGAACTCTTCGTAGTCATCGACGAGTTCGATGAGGACGGCGACCGATGCTTGAGGGGCCTAAAAGCACCGAGAGTAGATCCGGGGATCTGACAGGTCTCGAGTGACGGCGGCTTTGCTTTTGCGTCGCCTGGGTCAGGTATGTAATTAGCGGCGGCCATGATAAGGTTATCGTGTCGCGCCGCTTTTTCAAAGTAGCGTTCTGACGCATCTATCAGATAAGATAAGATAAGATAAGATAAGCCTTTATTAACAATCTCATTTAAGTTACATTTTTAATACACTTATTATCTAGTTTTATTATTCGACACCGGTTTCTTGATCGTCTTGCTGTACAGCATAGACGCATCTATACTAACTAGAGGTCCCGCAGTAGTCGAAATTCGACTATAATTAATTGGAATTGTAAGTTTGTACACTATTATGATTGTATGTTATACTTCTATAATTACAAATATCGCCAAGACTACACTATAAAAAATATTAACAAAGGTAAACAATATTTAATCTATTCTCAATTTGACAACAGACGTCAAGAACAAAAGTTTGACAATAAATAGTATGCATGCGTGTGTGCGTCAAATACATGGTCTGTAGTGTGTGTAAGTTTTTCTTTATTGATTTAAGGTATCTTTTATGCATTATTTAAAAAAAAAAATAGCATTGTGCAATTCTTCTCTATATTCTCTATAAGTGTGGAACATTTCATACTCCTCCGTCCGCGCAATTTTCGTAAAAAGGGATACAAAGTTTTTGCTTCACGTATTAATATATAGATATATAAATTTACAGTGGTTTTGTCTGGATGTTCCGTTATAACTATTGAACCATGCATCCGATTGACTTGAAACTTGTTATCCATGTAGAAAATACATGTACTTGATGGATAGGCTAATATTTATATGACTGTTGAACTCCCTAATAATAATGACAATGAATAATAATGCTAATTTTAAATGCCCAGCGAAGTGGGCGGCTACGGCTATCGTTTATATATTTATGTATTGGTTCTATGCTTAGGGTATCGTGATGACTGAAGTTTTTCACATACTACGGTGCTGTAATGGCGATTCTACAGAAACGACATTGAATCATCTGGAGATAGTCTACACATGAGCACGTGAGTCGAGTGAGCGAACACTGCACACTACACACACACACACACACACTTGCATAGGTCATGACGGGACATATGCAAGTTTTATAGAGTGTTATATTGTTACAAAGGGACAGTTTACTTCGCTTTATATTGTGAGCCGACAAAGGTACTTGTATATTTGTGCTTGCAAAGAAAACATGGGTTCCAGATTGAGGGATGGGATTGCTTTTGCTTTTGTTCCTCGGATGAGCAACAAAATAAGATGGTGTGAGTTAATTCCAGAGTCGTAAAACACGAGGATCTTTTGAAATGCACTGCGGATGAACGCAGTACTTCCATATAGTTTGGATGAGGTCTCTGCTATCCTGCTGGGTGGTGAAATTCATATCGTGATATTAATAGACCGGAAGTCACCACCTAACAGCAGGCCATGAGCTCATTTACCCGTATATGCAAGTTAAGAAAACCGAATGAACATCCGGACAATTTAGCCCAAAATACGTCATTTCGGACCCTCCCGATCCACTAACGGCGCTTTTAGGTACGTCAAGCACTGGTCATCGTTCTCGTCGAACCCGTCGCTTGCGACGAAGGGCTCGGCGTGTAAATTAACCCACAGACACAGCCCACTGAGTTTCTCGCCGGATCTTCTGGTCGTGTTTCCGATCCGGTGGTAGATTCTGCGAAGCACTACTCTTGCTAAGGTTAGTGTTAGCAACGTCATCAGGTTTGAGCTCCGTGAGCTCAACTTCTCGCCCGGTTATGCTGACATAGCCTCTCTATCGGCGTAGGTAGGAAAAAAAACGGATAATTGAATACGCAAAACCATCTCGCTCGAGAAATTATTCGGACATTATCATTTCGGTACCAAAACACGTTAGTCAAAACACAAAAACAAAATACGTATAATATAATAAATACACAAAAACATTCTTTCCAAAATATATTTAAAAGCAAACTTAGAAATAAGTAACAAATTTAGAACAACCCGCCACATCCACATCCCGGACCGATGCCCTTATATCCGAAGCCGACCGGGGGGATCCCTGGACCATAACCTAGTCCCGGACCGACGGGCGCCCCTAGAGCTGCCACCGGCGTCTCGGAGACAATACCGATAGCACCATCACCGCAGCCGTAAGACACCAGACCTCTACCATTAGACGGGAAGGTGCCTTCCGTGACCACAGTGCCCAGGAACGGAAGCTGTCCAATCACAGCCAAAGAACCTTCGATGGCGTTCTCTGACGTCACAGTAATGCCGGTAGGAGCAATGGGCGAAGTGCTGGTGACAGTGAAGCCGCCTCCACACGATGCTGCCAGGTTACCGGGAGCGAGACCAATGAATCCCCCAACTCCCAGACCTCCGTATCCCAGGCCGTCGTATCCGATGCCATCGTACGGTCCCCAGGGACCACATGGAGCTCCTAGACCACCGATCAGTGGATCGCGACCCAGGTATTGACTTGCAGCACTCTGGAAACAAACAAGCTGGAGGTAGCCCTGAATCTGTTTTTAAAAGTTTAGTGTGTACAACCTCTAATGATATTTTATTATTGTTGCTATAATCAACATTAAATCTATGATCCAGACTAATAATATAAACAAATAAATTATGTTTGTATTTTGATGAAAATGTGAAATTATTGAATTGTTTCTAAAAATTATGAATATATTTTTTTTATCTATAAGTAACATTGATATATTAGTTTTAGATAGTTAGATAGTTTAAATTAGAAAAAAAAACTGTTAGAAATTCTGATAGCGACAGAGCTATTTGACGTGTTATTAAATATATATATTTATACACAGGTAACCCTTTTTTTTCGGGCCGGGGGCCGAACCTCCTACGAGGTCCCCGCGCCTAGAGTGCGCGCAGGGTATGCGAGACTCAAAGATCTGCAGGTGTTGAGAGCAGACCGCGGGCCCAAGGAATTTTAGGGCCCACCCACTAAACGACTCCCCTGCACTCTTACACCCGACGTCCGATCTCCGTCCGGGGTCAGAACCCGGTCAGAGTAGGGGGGTCCCCGCGGTCAACGCTACAACCAGACATGCGGCGCCACCTCGAGGACGCCCGACACAGGTAGCCCTACCTTAACACGGCAGATACGTTCCTACAAAGTCCCATGTTGTGTGAAAACGTGCTAAAACTAGAAGTCAGTCACAACAAAAATAACAGTGATATTTATTTTCTAAATTACACATCTCAACTATGCAATTTATCTCTCTCTTAATCTCAATTATACACAAAAATAAACAGTAAAATTTCTGTTATTTGAATATATTGTGTGTTCATAGTGCATAATGTAATTTTCTAAGCAATAATTTTAAACAAAAATCTTGTTTTCGTGTTTTAGAAGTAAGTACCCGTGCTGTAAGAGGACTTAGGGAATTCTTTTTTTCGTGTTGGGGTGGAACCGTGTTGTAAAATACCGTGTTATATGAGTGTTAGCTGTACTATATATTTATTTTAATACTAGCGGCCCGCCCCGGCTTCGCTTGGGAAGTAGCGTACGCGATGTAAAGAATTTTAGGTAATTTTTTTTTTACACATTGAATCACATTATTGGAGTTTCAGTAGGGATCCCTAATTTTTTGAAAATATGTTATAATAAATATAGCCTATGTCACCCGGGGATAGCGTAGCTTTCCAACAGTGAAAGATTTTTTTATATCGGTCCAGTAATTTCGGAGCCTATTCAATACAAACAAACAAACAAATCTTTCCTCTTTATAATATTAGTATAGATAAACTGATATCCACTTTGATTTAAAACAAAAATAAACTCACCACCCACAATAATGCGGAGACGCTGACAAAGATGGCGGTCTTGGCGGCCATTTTGTTTGGTCACTACACGAGAAGCAATACTCGTATGAATTTTCCCTCCTAAAGTCCTTCTATTTAAACATTAAATTAATATTGATGGCCCAATAAAATTACTGTAACGCGCTTACGTAATATTCAGCAACATTTATTTAGGTTTTCATTTTATACATTTCTCTGATGCAACAACGATTTGTGTTGCCTCCATAATTTCGAATTAATAATATTTCTGTAATAATAATATGGATATTTATCACGTTTTGTGTCACAGTCGAACAGTTTTAGTGATAGCACATTTCTCGCTTACACATACATACCTACAAACATTACACTATTATCTATATACATTATCAATTAGCTGTAAACCATGTGTACACACATGAAGACATTTTACGTTATTAGTGTCGGAGTGATGGAAAATAGCTTTTTCTAGTAATGAGCGAGTTCCGAGTACTTTCTTTGGTTTTAAAGAACCATAGACATAATTAAAACTAATTTTAAGGTTTAATATTGCGTTTGGTAATTCGACACTTTACAGTATTCGTTTTTTTTTATTGCTTAGATGGGTGAATGAGCTCACAGCCCACCTGGTGTTAAGTGGTTACTGGAGCTCATAGACATCTACAGCGTAAATGCGCCACCCTACTTGAAAGGTAAGTTCTAAGATCTCAGTATAGTTACAACAGCTGCCCCACCCTTCAAACCGAAACGCATTGCCTAGTGCTTCACGGCAGAAATAAGCAGGGTGGTGGTACCTACCCGCGCGGACTCTTAAGAGGTCCTACCACCAGTAATATGCCTACAAAGGCAATAAAGATAATTGCTCAATTATAACAAGGAGTGGCGCATACTTATTTTTTGAACGGGTGTTCCTACCTTCGAATCGGCAAGCAGGATTGCTTCACTGAAGATATCGGCATAATATTGTAACTTCGCTTTAGTATACTGACTTGTATCAACAGGATATATGATTGAAAGTGATTGTTGCTTTTGTTTGCTATTTACGCATACTTTAGTTTTTGATAGTAAGTACGTAGTACATATTGTTACGTCCGTAAGAGTAACGCCATCTATCGTCGAATGGTCTAACGAATATCGAAGGATCTAGTAACATCTAGTACGCTCGAGAAGTACAACGCCATCTATTGTCAGATAGCGGAAACACAATATTCGACTTTTGTGGAATATTCTCGACGATTCTAGGGATTTCGTCTCGGCGTTGCAGAGATGGCACGCAGTCAGTTAGTAATCGGAACTACTCGAAGCGAAACAGCGAACGGATCACATGAAGCGAAGCGGAAGAAGCGAACTGAGAATTTTAAAGTGTTTGTGAAGTGCTTTAAGCGTTCTAAGTGTTGAATACAGTTTTATGTTGTACTTTGTTGAAACATTTTTTTATCCCGAATCCCAGCGCGTAACAATATTATTATAACTACATAGTCTGGCCATAAAATCCGTTACATAAAAACTTTTTCTTTTTTCAACTTTTTAAAAATTTGGAATAGAACACGTATATTATTTTAAAAACTTCTTTTCGGTTTTGCGCCATTTCACATATTTTTGGCGTTCATTATCAAATTACAATATGGAATGGGGTGTTAAAGAAAATAGGATTGCAGTAATCGCCTTGCACAAAGTGGGTATAAAGCCGTCGGTCATATTCCAGACACTTCAAAAGCTTGGTATCAGCCGTATGTGCGTGGTTCGTACTATCAACAGATACAACAACACTTCGTCTGTCGAAGATCAGAAAAGAACGGGTCGACCGCGTGCCGCTAGAACTACAAAGGCTGTTAATGCTGTTAAAGCCAGAATTGGTCGAAACCCTAGAAGCAAAAAAAAATTATCGCGAGAAATGAAAATTCCCGTTAGGACTCTGTCGCGTGTTATAAAACAAGACCTGAAGCTCGGTGCTTATCGTCAATACACAAGACATCCCCTAAATAAGAAATACCGGGTACAGCACTGTGCTTCGATTTTAACATATTTATAGTTGAACATCTTGTAACACCAAAAAAAACTAAATATTTTTTTTTTTAAATTAACGCCATCTAGCGTTTCTACGTGGCGCAGTGTGGAGAAAACGATTTTAAACCTCACATACTCGACACTGCATGCCGTGACTGTGCGATTCTGTATGTTGTTCGACAACAGATTTTGCACATCACTGGCATGCAGAATTTTCGAGAAACGACAGATAAATAATATAAAAGGACAAGTTCACTTTGTCCAAGTCTTTTTCGTTCAACATCTCTCGAGCTGCGAGGTGATTATATTCTTAGACATTTACCAAAGTCAATTTCATGAATAAATAAAATTTAAAGCATAACTATGTCTTATCACTTAGGTCCTTGTAACTGGTACAAAATATTGTACTACAGTTAGGGTGCGGAGCGTGACCTTCTGTTCGCCTTCGAGATCCCACAGCACCTTTCTGTGTGGACGCTGCCGGAAGCGAGGTGCTCTGGCAAGTCGGTCCAAGAAAGGCTACTTGACTGCGGTAGACCTAGAAGACACTCGCATTCCCATCCTCGCTCGAATTGAGCAACCCCGGTTGCTGGGAAGTGATCCGGTGAACCTTATTGTTTCTTTTAAATAATCTTATATTAAGTTTCTTTCTGTGACTTTCTCGAGTGTTCGGTGTATCTACCGACACTCCATCATTATTAATTTAAAATTTGTATCATAACCTCTCACTAGTTTTATATTACAACCATTGTAAATTTAGCTCGTATGTTTTTATATGTGTGTACACACTATATTGTTATTTTTAACTTGTTTTTTTTACTGGTGTACTCCTCAACGAGTCTCCTGTTCACCGGTTGTCTACCGGTGGTGACGTGTCTAGAAGTGGTGCGACTCGACCCCGTGTCTCTCGACCCATAGACCACCTTTTGGGGACTGACGCGACTGGGCCTCATGTAACATCAACATACCCAGGGCACCCTCAGACACAGACACGTTACAATCTAATTTCCATACCAGCCTGTCGAGTGGTTAAATACTAACGTCATCATTGCCAGTGGTGGAGCCAAGCCTTAGCCTGCTGCTGATGGCTCTTGACAATGGCGAGATTGTCTCAAACAATATCTCATTTCCGCTGTATATATTGCAACTGTATATATTGCAACTGTATATATTGCAAGTCAGTGCAACCTTAACACGTTGACTGCGTTATGCGACTTAAAAGCCCCACAAGCGACGATTCCCTGATGCCGCAGTCCAAAGCTTTTCGCTAAGTGCTTAAGGCGACAAGTCCACATTTCTATAAGTATGGGTATATACGAAAACATTTTTGAGGCCTATAAGGTCTCATAGCGTAAACAAGTCCAATCTCGCCTTGGAAAGACCTCATACGCACCGGCTAAAAGTCCCTCAAATAGTCTAGCCGTCAACGTGTTAATATAACGAACCTCAATAAACGACGTCCTCGATTTAACAAATCCTTTGCTATCCCCCTTAAATTGTTTTTTTTTTTTTTATTGCTTAGACGGGTGAACGAGCCCACAGCCCACCTGATGTTAAGTAGTTACTGGAGCCCATAGACATCTGCAACGTAAATGCGCCACCCACCTCGAGATATAATTTCTAAGGTCTCTGTATAGTTACAACGGCTACCCCCACCCTTCGAACCGAAACGCATTACTGCTTCACGGCGGAAATAGGCGAGGTGGTGGTACCTACCCGTGCGGACTCCCAAGAGGTCCTAAAAGAGTCCTTAAGAGTCAATGTAAAATATACCTTAACATTGCGAAGATTTCTTGCGAAAAAAAAAGTATAGATACCCCTAATTAACGAATTTTGTCAACCCAAAACCTTTATATTATAACGTTCCCACCAATAAGACCCTTAATCCCATAGTATGTGAATCAGTCTCGTCAGGTTTGAGAAATTTTTTCGCGGCTTGCGTTTCATTTTAACCTTTTTTGTAGTAAAATTTTAAAATGAATTGAATTTCTTCATTAGATCCACTCATCTTGACAGTACGAAAAATAAATAAAAATCACACGTTTACCTAATTTGAATTTGGAATTATCTTCTTTAAAATTGAAACTTTTAACGATACCAAAACCAGCCAGATACAAATAGTATAGCCAAATAGATTTTATTACAAGTTCATACATACTATAAAGCGAAAAGACTTTTTCGCCAACCTATTATATAGAAAAAAAAACAAATTGAAGTACCAACATAGAGACGAATTATCATAAACGACTTATGATCTTCCGCCTTATCTCATTCAAATTTCAATTCGAATTAAACACCCATATAAACTTAACAATTAATTTATTTAACAACATTGTAGATTACTAATAGTATGGAGAGCCGCCGCATCCGCAGGTGGGTCCGCACGCGCCAGAGATGGAGACAGAACCGACAGCGCAGGCAGGACCCGCGAACTCGACCGCGCCGATGACGGGCACCTGTCCCATTACAGCGCTGGAGCCGGCCACGGGAAGCTCGCCAGCCACGGCCACGTTACCGATGCCGGAGCCGCCGTACCCTCCACAACCGCCGTACCCGACAGGACCGTACCCAGGCCCACCGAGAGGTCCGCCATATGGACCTACAGGAGGCCCACCGGGACCCACACGACCCAGGCACTGACTGTACACATTCTGGAAAACAGAATTAGATATATTGTTTTATTTAGATTGGAAGTGACAGTAGTAGGTAGCCGCTTCGCTGTGCCCTTGGGAATGCTGAAGTTCATGACCAATGAGATAGGCCATATAGTCATTAGTCTACATAAATGTTTAGAATACATTATCCTGTCTTGATAAAATTTACAAAAATGTCTCAGTATGGAATAAACCTTTGGGAGAGTTAGAGTTAACTTAAATAGCTTTATTAGCTAGCTAAATAGCTTTTCTGTTTTCGTCAAAGGTAGAGAATTGGTAGGCAGCGGCTCGGCTCTGCCCCTGGCATTGCTGACGTCCATGTGCGACGGTGACCACTTACCATCAGGTGGGCCGTATGCTCGTCTGCCTGGCAATAAAAAAAAACAAAAGCATCACAGCGAAATTTATAATATCTGATTACTGCCGCTGACGCTACCAATGTTAGAGCCAAGTCGCTCTCAACTGCTCTTTTCAATCCGCGTTTCAATAAGCGCTTGTTTTAATCAGTGTTTTGGAATTTGGTCATATGACCTCATCAGAAGCTTTACTTTTTAAATCTTTGAAGAAACGGCCCACTTGATGTCACGCGGTTATTGGGGTTCAGTAATGTGGCCTTATCAATGACGGTTGTCTTCTGTAAAACTGTGCCACTGGACTGCGTCATGTACAAATGGACAGAATGGTGGAACTATAGAAATTGTCGCGGACTAAAAGATAAGACGTCCGGTGCATTCGTATGTAGCGATGCATCGGTGTTCGAATCCCGCCGGTGGGTACCAATTTTTCTAATGAAATACGTACTTAACGAATGTTCACGATTGACTTCCACGGTGAAGGAATAACATCGTGTAATAAAAATCAAACCCGCAAAATCATAATTTGCGTAATTACTGGTGGTAAGACGTTTTGTGAGCCCCTACGGGTTGGTACCACCCCGCCTATTTCTGCCGTGAAGCAGTAATGCTTTTCGGTTTAAAGGGCGGGGCAGCCGTAGTACTATTAAAACTGAGACCTTACAAGTCATGTCACGAGGTGGGTTGGCGGCATTTACGTTGTAGATGTCTATGAGCTCCTCTAACCACATAACACCAGCCGTGAGTTCGTCCACCCATCTAAGCAATAAAAAAAAACTTAGAACGAGCTTACAATACACCACTAATAATAAAAGCACTGGCAATAAAAGTTATCAACAGCTTTCCATCAACTTACTTGGATGAGACAAATTTGTAGACAAAATAGAACGAAAGTGTAAGTGGACATGTTTTGGCTTCTCTGTGCTGATAGTACTGACATGCTGAACCGAAATTCAAACAACTTATTTATAAGGTGACACCTTGCAACATCTGTTTCGTATGTAAAAAAAAATGTAACTGCTATCTGGCAACACAATTTGTGGAAACTATAGTTTAGCACATCAGATAGTTTTATCGATTTTATGTAATTAAATAGAGCGATAGTATAAATTCTCGTTGAAGTGTTTGTTGGGCACACAATTAAAATATCTTTAGGTAATAATACCAGTGTGATAGAAAGAGAAAAATAATGGCCAAAACTGTTCTATTTGTTTTTGCATCTGCCCTTATTTCCCAGGTGAGCACAAGTAAAGCATCTCAAAGATTTTTAAGCTTAATTTATTTAAGAATTAAATGAACTATCAAATCTGATATAGGGTCAATTGAAAACGTCTGGTAAATATAGTAACCATCTCATACCAGCTTAAAGCATAGATGCAAGCGGGCCTTCTGCTGATAAATAAGTATTAGCTGTATTTTGAAAAAGCCAAAATCGCCTCTCAAACGTCTCTCTCTTTTAGCCATAAATATTACCATGTGTGGAATCTGAAACCTATCTTTCAACTTTGTTTTCTTTTTTTTTTTATTGCTTTGATGGGCGGACAAACTCACAGCCCACCTGGTGTTAAGTGGTTACTGGAGCCCATAGACATCGGCTTACAACGGCTGCCCCACCTTTCAAACCGAAACGCATTACTGCTTCACGGCAGAAATAGGCAGAGTGGTGGTACCTACCCACGCGGACTCACAAGAGGTCCTACCACCAGTAAATGTATCTTATTCTAACAAATTTCCAGGGTGTCCTTAGCCAATTTACTGGACGCATCTTTTCTCCTCGTCCTGGTTTCGACAGCCTGGCTTACGAAGGCCTCGGTTACGGAGGTTGGAACGGTCGAGGCATTTGTGGGGGCGTCCGCGACGATATCACCGCAGCAGGCGCTCTTGCCGCATCCCAGGGTGGTGGACTTGCCGTTGTCACCTCCTCGGCTGCACCTACTGGTCTCGGCGTGACCTCAGAGAGCTCATACGAGGGTACGGTTTCGATTTGCGGCAACGCGCCGTTCCTCGGAACTGCTGATGTTGCTGGCGAGCTTTCCACAATCGGAGGTGGTGTAGTCAGCTACGAATGCGGCGACGGAGCTGTTGGTATAACCACGGAGGGTGGTGTGGGTGTCGCGCCAACCGCTACAATCGGATCTGCTAACATTCCTCCTGCGGTTGGAGCTCCTGTGGGATACCGAGGCTTTAACCGCGGGTGTGGATGCGGCTCTAACTACGCCTATTGAACTACCACCTAATTAATAATTTAATAAATTTACTTCTAAGCTATTTCTTGTATTTATTGCTCCAATCCCATTGTTATTTAATTTACTATCGTGTAAAAAAGTAAACATCCTTACCTGGCGTTGCGTTGAGGCAGTAAAAGAGTATGTAGCAAGCACTATTGCTGTGCACATCACGTGTCTCTGTGAGTGAAATTTCAAACCAGTAAATCATGACAAAGAAGATGATTGATAAAATATAGAATTTCGAGCCGAGCATAGCTTTATTCTATATTGTTAAATAGTGAATAGTTTATCCAATAACGCAATGTCTGGTTGCAATTACCGATCTGACAGAATGACTTGGTTCTGCTAAAGGCAGTGTGAGAAGCAACGCAGCTAAACTTAGCCGGTGTCATTATTGTACTTAGTATTTTACTATTACATGGCTATTTGCTGTGACTGCTTGTCAAGTGGCCAGCGTGGCATACCAATATTGGCACTTTACAGTTCTGCTGATAGTAACATCTGATTACGAAGCTCATATTTTGTAAGCCTTCAATCCAAACCAAAAAGAATTGTTAAAGCAATATCGTCGCCGTTTACTTTATCTATTAGCGTCAGCATCCTGTCATCTTCTTTTCTGTGATTGCATCTTACACGGGACGATCATGGTTGGTAGCAGACATAGCGTATCTCACGACATCTCACTCTACTACTCCATCATTTTACTCTAATCTACCTTTTTTGTTTCGATTCGGTTTGCTTAAGTATCAGAACCCTGAACTTTCCGCAACTAAGAGCCGCACGAGATATCTGGCTCAATGGCCAAAGATGATGCAGACCCAGTAAACGACTTACTCTACGCCTTTCCCACACCACAAGTCTTTGCATGGACACGTTTTAAGGTAAAAGGTGTTAAAAATGTCAAGAGGCAACTTTTCTGTGGGTCTGATCGATATTGTTTGGTAATGAATTCAGATGGTTCATGAACACAATGAACCCAACGGAGCAAACGAGTAATGACCGGTTTGAGATCTGGGTATGCAGTCAATAGGCAATTATCCAGGTAGGCTTGCGATAGCCTAAGCAACCTAGCGGGTCGCTAAGTAGTAACATCGTAAGAGCGACCGGTTAACGATATATCACCTCAAGACCCGGCAAGCTGGTTCTGATCCAGCAGGGTGTCCTGGGAATTCGGCGGCTCCGTCTAGGCAGTGTGATAAACCGCCGTAACGAGACAGCTGCCAGCCCCTTTATTTTGCCGAAGGCTTCGTTGCCCGAGCGTTCTTGGGGTTAGTCGCGGATCTGGTTGCAGTGTTGGTCGCGGTAACCTCCTTACTCCTCCTCCTTTGTGCATCGGACACTTTGGCGAGATTGCAGGGGATTCGTTTAGTGGGTAGGGTCCTAAATACTATCATCGGACCCGCGGTCCGCTTCCAACATCTGCCGATCGTCCAATCCCACTTACCATGTGCGCTCTAAAGAGGCAGGGAATTGGAGGAGGTTCTACCCACGAGCCAGAACAAAAAAGGCGACCGAAGGGCCCGGTTCTCATAACGTTGAAAGCTAAGTCAAAATAAAGTATCTCAGGCTAAGCCCCGTGAGCTCACCTACCAACCCGGAGAGGCAATAATAGCCCCTCGAGGATACCAATGATTAGATAGAAAAAACCCTCTGCCTGCCTCAGTTGAGTTTTACCTCAACTGAGGTTTTGACTCGAGTAGCTGAGGGAGAAGGAGTTTCAACTTCAACATGCATCCAACGCATACGTGAAGCCGGACAGCTTTCTCCCAAACCCAAAGTAAGACAAATGTGACGGTCAAATATATTTCCGATGACAAATGTTTTTTTTATAGCAGAACATTATGAAGATTTGAATTTTATTTTGAGTTCCCAATATTGAACTCTGTTCAGCGAATTTAGCCATGATCGTTTATTCAATCAATGAAATACACAAAAACATAAGACCATATAATAAAAATGAAACCCGCAAAATTATAATTTGCGTATTTACTGGTGGTAGGACCTGTTGTGAGTCCGCGCGGTTAGGTACCACCACCCCGCCTATTTCTGCCTTGAAGCAGTAATACGTTTCGGTCTGAAGGGTGGGGCAGCCGTTGTAAATATACTGAGATCTTAGAACTTGTATCTCAAGGTGGGTGGCGCATTTACGTTGTAGATGTCTATGGGCTCCAGTAACCACTTAACACCAGGTGGGCTGAGGGCTCGTCCACCCATCTAAGCTACAAAAAAAAAAAAAAAACTTATAGCTCAAGGTGAGATTCGCATCGAGATATTTTTTCGTGATTTCCATTAGCTAATGTGACTACAATAGACAGATGGCCAATTGAAGATACCGGGAATCCTCCGGATGAGGGAAAGATAGGATCGATTATTATTGCGAATCTTGGGTGACCTGTCTGGCGGTGGGTTTCTGTAAGCTGTTGACAATAACAATGATAATGGTGAATATTGACTACTAGAGGAACCGTGTATTAATAAACACCTGCTCAGCCTGCGAAAAAAAAAAAAAAAAACTAAAGATAATTTTGTTATTTCAAACTAATGTCTCAAGAAGTTTATATCAGGACATGAGGCTATTTACACGTGTATATGGATAAAAAAAGATTACATAGCATTACGATCAACTCGGTGATTGACTCACTCGCTGCAGTTGTTAGCGCCCCTGACTGAAGCGCCAAGAGACGTAGGTTGGATTCCCACATCGGGCAAGCCTTCGTTTTTTTTATTGCCCTTGTAGGAAGACGGGCATACGGCCAAGCTGATAGTGAGTGGTTACCGTCGCCCATAGACTTCCGTAATGCCAGGGGCCAGAGCCAAGCTGCTGCCTACCGCAAGCCAAGTTCGTGTGATGTACCGGTTTGTTTCCTCTTTGGCTGGGGGTTTGTTATGTATATATTTAAACGTATTTAAGTGCGTANACTCTAGCGCGCTGGCACCAGGAGGACGGGACGGCGCGTCGGCGGCTGCGGACTGCGATGCGGTCCGCATTTTCGTCGTCGCTGTCGTCGCCGAACATACTGTTGAAGAGCAACCCGGTCGGCGGTGTATCGCGTTCCGACCCGGCAGGCTGGTTCTGGCCCAGCGGGGTATCCCGGAACACCAGCGGCACCGCCCGGGCGGCCTGGTTGGGCCGCCGTACCGCGGAGACCGACGTCGTTGGTCGTCGACTATCGCCTCGACGACCCGTCGGTCGGGCGTCCTCCGTGTCTGGTTGTAGTGTTGACCGCGGGAACCCCCCCTACTTTGTCCAGGTTCTGACCCCGGACGGAGATCGGACGTCGGGTGTAAGAGTGCAGGGGAGTCGTTTAGTGGGTGGGCCCTAAAATCTTTGGGCCCGCGATCTGCTCTCAACACCTGCAGATCGTTAAGTCTCACATACCCCGCGCGCCCCCTAGGCGCGGGGACCTCGTAAGAGGTTCGGCCCTCGGCCCGAAAAAAAAAAAAAAAAAGTAAAAGAGTATGTAGCAAGCACTCTTGCTGTGCATTTTACGTATCTCTGTGAGTGAAATTTCAACCCAGTAAATCATGACAAAGAAGATGATTGATATAATATAGAAATTCTACTCCAATATCACTTCGAGCCGAGCATAGCTTTGCTCTATATTGTTGAACAGTGGATAGTTAATCCAATAACGTAATGTCTGGTTGCAATTACCGACCTAACAGAATGTTTTTGTTCTGCTGAAGGCAGTGTGAGAAGCAACGCAACTAAACTTAGCCGGTGTCATTATTGTACTTAGTATTGTACTATTACATGGCTATTTGCTGTGACCGCTTGTCAAGTGACGAGCGTGGCACACCAATATTGGTACTGTTACTCCGGTGAGAGTAACGCCGTCTATCGCCCAATAGTCGAACGAATATCGAAGGATCTAGCAGCGCCCAGAACGCTCGAAAGGTACAACGCCATCTATTGACAGATAGCGGAAACTACTACTGGAGATGAGTAGAATATTCTCTATAATTCTAGGAATGAGGTATCGGCTATAAAAGCGTTGTAGAATACAGTGTAAGTTACAAGTACAGTTTAAGTGTTGAATACAGTTTTTAAGTTGTACTTTGGTGAAATTTTATTTATCCCGAACTCCAGCGCGTAACAGTACTTTACAGTTCTGCTGATGGTGACATCTGATTACGAAGCTCATATTTTGTAAGCCTTCAATCCAAACCAAAAGGAATTGGTAAAGGCAATATCGTCACCATTTACTTTATCTATTATCGTCAGCATCCTGTCATCTTCTTTTCTGTGATTGCATCTTACACAGAACGATCATGGTCATCTTGGTTGGTAGCAGACAAAGCGTATCTACTCTACTACTGGATCATTCTACTCTAATCTACCTTTTTTGTTTCGGTTCGGTTTGCTTAAGTATCAGGACCCTGAACTTTCCGCAACTAAGAGCCGCACGACATATCTGGCACTCAGTGGCCAAAGATGATACAGACCCAGTAAACGACTTACTCTACGCCTTTCCCACACCACAAGTCTTTGCATGGACACGTTTTAAGGTAAAAGGTGTTAAAAATGTCAAGAGGAAACTTTTCTGTGGGCCTGATCGATATTGCTTGGTAATAAATTCAGATGGTTTATGAACACAATGAAACCAACGGAGCAAACGACTAATGACCAGTTTGAGATCTGGGTATGCAGTCAATAGGCCATCGTCCAGGTAGGCTTGCGATAGCTTAAGCTACCTAGCGCGTGGCTAAGTAGTAACATCGTAAGAACGACCGGTTAACGGTATACCACGTCCCGACCCGGCAAGCTGGTTCTGATCCAGCAGGGTATCCTGGGAAATCAACGGCTAAAGGGGCTGGTAACCGTCTCGTTACGGCGGCAGTGTGATGAACCGCCGTAACGTGACGGTTACCAGCCCCTTTATTTTGCTGAAGGCTTCGTTAGCCGAGCGTTATTGGGGTTAGTCGCGTTAGTCACGCATGGTCGTGTGAAGTCGTTGAAGTCATCGTGGCCTAAAGGATAAGACATCCGGTACATTCGTATCTAGCGATGCAACGGGGTTCGAATCCCGCAGGCGGGTAACAATTTTTCTAATGAAATACGTACTCAACAAATGTTCACGATTGACTTTCACGTTGAAGGAATAACATCGTGTAATAAAAATCAAACCCGCAAATTTATAATTTGCGTATTTACTGGTAGTAGGACCTCTTGTGAGTCCGCGCATTTAGGTACCACCACCCCGCCTATTTCTGCCTTGAAGCAGTAATACGTTTCGGTCTGAAGGGTGGGGCAGCCGTTGTAAATATACTGAGATCTTAGAACTTATAGCTGAAGGTGGGTGACGCATTTAAAAAAAAAGAAACCTATCTTTGGCCCCCAATCTCTACGAGTATTGTGTGTAGCTAGATTTTATAGCGATGAATATATTATTATAGAAACATTCTGAGCGACAAAGTTCCGGCTACCGGGAATTCCGGAAGTTCCGGCTATTTGGGAAAGCTAATTTACCCCTTACCCTTAATGAAAGCAGAAGAAAGCGGGATACCATAAAACGGGAGATAATAAAATCTAAATTTGGCTTTGTGCAGAAACTTAAACGGATGCAGACGAGAAAAACACTCAACTACTTTGCTTTACGGACTATTTTTGTATAAACAGTACTTACTTATCGCAAATTTTTTACTTTTTTTTTTATTAGATGGGTGGACGAGCTCACAGCCCACCTGGTGTTAAGTGGTTACTGGAGCCCATAGACATCTACAACGAAAATGCGCCACCCACCATGACATATAAGTTCTAAGGTCTCAGTATAGTTACAACGGCTGCCTCACCACTCAAACCGCTATTTAAGATACCAAGTTTCTTTTTTACCAAGTCAAAACAAAATGTAACTTTTAAAATTTTATATTCATAACGCAACTAAACAATTTAAAATACAACAAAAATTACTTAATAGATAACACTGTTGCATCCGCACCCTTTATATCCGCCTCTAGCGGGTCCATATCCGATTGGTCCCGGACCGTAACCGGGTCCGACGGTGGGCGGCAGTGGCGCGGCAATAGGAGCTTCGGAAACTATGCCGATGGCGCCATCACCGCACCCGTAAATCACAACACCAGTGCCGGCAGTAGCGAACGCCCCATCGGTAGCCACCGCACCCAGGAATGGCAGCTGTCCCATCACAGCAACGGTGCCTTCGATTGTATTCTCAGAAGTTAATGTGAGCCCAGTAGGGGTGATGGGAGAAGAGCTGGAAACAGCGAGACCGCCGCCGCANTCGGAAACTATGCCGATGGCGCCATCACCGCACCCGTAAATCACAACACCAGTGCCGGCAGTAGCGAACGCCCCATCGGTAGCCACCGCACCCAGGAATGGCAGCTGTCCCATCACAGCAACGGTGCCTTCGATTGTATTCTCAGAAGTTAATGTGAGCCCAGTAGGGGTGATGGGAGAAGAGCTGGAAACAGCGAGACCGCCGCCGCACGATGCTGCTAAATTTCCCGGGCTTAGGCCGATGAATCCTCCTCCTAATTGCGAGCCATAGCCCAGACCGTCATACGGGCCAATGCCATCATAAGGTCCCCAAGCAGAGCCATACGGCCCAGCCAATCCTCCGATCAGAGGATCCCGACCGTAACATTGGGCGTTGCAAACCTGAAAAAATAATTATGACTATGTAGGGACCACAAATGTTCTAACAACTAATAATTATATGTATGTGTTAGCGATAATTATATTGCAATGATGCTACATCAGTCTCGGGATTGTCGGGCTGTCGATAGCACGTTAGGTTGTAATCCCAATATACGTTAGTCACCTGAGCACATGTCTTATTAATCCTTGCCCGATGTAGAGACTCAAGAACTATATTTTGGTTTAAATGGGCATAAGAAAGCGGTGGTTCCACTTTTAAACAGTTAACGAGGCCTTATACAGGCCACAAATATCCCGCAGTTGACATCTGTAAGCTGAAAGTATGAGTAAGGTGATAGCCATAAATTAGATTAAATTTCCCATGACAATAAAGCTGTTCCGACCCTGAAACCATTCTAAGAACTCAATCCCGTTGAGTGATAGGTTTAAATCGTAAATAAACAAACAATTCTGAACGAAAAAAATTGATTTATCCTCACTTGGAACATGACAGCTGATGCGCAGAATAAAAAGAGTATGGCGGCCATTTTCTCTGCTGTTCAAATTTGTTTGAATACAACAAAAAGTGTATTGTCTTTTATATGGATATATTACATAAAATTCAATCGATATGGTATCGCTACTAACTATTGCAGGCTTTTATTATACCTAATCAATATAGAAATGGATGTTGAAAACATCATTGTTTTAAATTATGCAATCCTTATCGATGTAAGGCACTGGGAATTAGAAATATATTAGGTAGTATCGAGATTGTCACGTATTAATTTTTTTTATTGCTTAGATGGGTAGTCGCGCTCATAGCCCAGCTGGAGTTAAGTGGTTACTGGAGCCCATAGACATCTACAACGTAAACGCGCCATCCACTTTGAGATATATGTTCTAAGGTCTCAGTATAGTTACAACGGCTGCCCCACCCTTCAAATCGAAACGTATTACTGCTTCACGGCTGAAATAGGCAGGGTGGTGGTACCTACCCACGCGGACTCACAAGAGGTTCTACCACCACTAAACTTGTGTTTGTTGTCTTAAGTTTGTTGTATCATACCAAATCTTCCCTCATCATTCTCCTGCCCTTATTCCAGTCACCGGGTCGGCGCAACATGTTTTCTCCTTCCATACTCCTCTATCATATTCCGTTTCTTCGCTCACTCCCCTCTTACACATATCGTCTTTCACGCGATCCATCCAATTTTTCTTAGGTGCAAATTGCTTGACGCCTATCTTGTTTGTTTGGATTTTTTCCCTCTCTTTCTTTCAGTCGTCTCTCATTCAGACGTTAGTACGTTAGTCGTTCTTACCCATCCTACATACTTTGTTACTGCAGACATTACATGCATTTTTAATGGCACTAAAGCTTGAACATGCTCTGTGTTTACTGCATGTGCATATATCGGGACACAAGAACTTTAAACCTCAAATTATTAAAATTAAGCACGACTAGAATTATAACGGTGTGCTTCATTTTTATTTAATTTTATTTTTTTTATTTTTTAATAATTATTATTATATTATAATACTTTGTATTAATTGTATGTATATTTACGGAGATATGTATGTGTACATATATTTATATGTATTTCACTGGAATGGTACACCGCGCGTAGTTCGTTTCCAAATGATTCTTGTCCACCTGATGGTTGTCTGGAAGAGATCGCTCTTAGCGATAAGACCGCCAATTGTACTTTTTTATTTTTAATGTATCGCACTGTTTATTTGTTTTTTTGGTGTACAATAAAGAATACTCTCTCTCTCTCTCTCTCTTAGTGCGAGTTTTTTAACGTTCTCGATAGCGTAAAAGTTAATTCAATTTTGTATGTGGTTGGTACTTTTGCCTACGTTTGCCGCTAGGGGCGCTGTTCCAACTGCATACTTTGTGTTAGCTTTTACACTATGGAGAACGTTAAAAAACTCGCACTAAGCACACAGATCTGCTTTTTTTCCCTACCTATTCTAGTAGCCTAGGGTTATTCTAGATTCACTGAACTAGTAGGTGAGCTCACGGGGCTCAAACCTGACGATGTTGCTAACACGAACCGTAGCAAGAGCTATGCTTCGCAGAATCTACCACCGGATCGGAAACGCGACCCACTGAGAAGATCCGGCGAGAAACTCAGTGGACTGTGTCTGTGGGTTAATTCGCTCGTTGAGCCCTTCGTCGCAAGCGACGGATTCGACGAGGACGGTGACGGGAGAAGGTCCGAACGTTGTTATTCGGAACTTGTATATATCGACGCTTGAAAGGCAAACTTGACTAAGCGACAATAGCTGCTTGGTACATAAATGATAGGCAATAACCTGTGTTTCTATGATCTGTGTCAATAACCATATTCGATGCGCAAAAAAAATATATTTCTAGGTCTATTAAAATTATTTCAATCCTACAGGTAGATTCGTTAAAATAGAATTTTTTTCAGGTAATTCAACTTTAAATTAGTCTACTGTAAGTTCACGCATTGTCGCTTAGTCACGTTTGCCTTTCAAGCGTCGATATGTAAGCTTATCTTGAAAATGTCGTAAGCGAGATTCAAGCATCTGTCAAATATCAAAGAAAGCCCATTGAAGCCATTGACTATGTCTATGGGTTAATTTACTTGTCGAGCCCTTCGTCGCAAGCGATAGGATCGGCGAGAACGGTGACCGGTGCTTGAGGTACCTAAAAGCAGCGTTAATGGATGGGAAGGATCCGTAGTGACGTCTTTAGGGCAACCCAATATTGAATTCGGATCAATGAAATGCCATAAAACTATTGAAATCGACTAGCGTTCGCCCATCGATTGAAACTTAACCATAATCGATATCTTAATATAACAGATACATTTTATTTGTTAAATTGTCTCTCTCGTGAAGATTCGTAAAAAGAAACTGTAACATTTGTTTTTTTGTTTATGAAGCTATGACTCTACACTCACTGATAATAAAAAATATATATATCAACCTGTATCTCAATCAAATCAAATCAAATCAAAAAAAAATTATTCGACATAAATGAAAGTACATACTTGTAAAACGTCAAAAGAACTACCGCCGCCAATTCACAAGAACTAGCCTCCGTCCTGAGAAGAATTGGCAAGAAACTCAGCGGGCATGTCTTTCTTTTTTTTTAAATTTTTTTTTATATTAGTTTTATTTTACATATTCATTTTTACAATGAGTATGATAACATAACAATTATTACAATATTGAAATGACCGGAGCGAGCAACTCATCTATTGTATTTACTTACATCTATATGTCGGAGACGGATATTACTTTGGTAGCAAAACGAAGCGCAGCACGATTCCCGAGAGGTGACAATAAGATCGTAATTCAATAAAACTTCTCACACTGTGTTTAATTAGGTCCGACTCGTGAGATAGGATTTTAACATAATAAAAATCATATTTATTATTGCGATTTTTTTTTTTTAATGCTTACATGGGTGGACGAGCTCACAGCCCACCTGATGTTAAGTGGTTACTGGAGCCCACAGACATCTACAACGTAAATGCGCCACCCATCATTGAGATATAAGTTGTAAGGTCTCAGTATAGTTACAACGGCTACCCCACCCTTCGAACCGAAACGCATTACTGCTTCACGGCAGAAATAGGCAGGGCGGTGGTACCTACCCGCGCGGACTCACAGCAAGTCCTACCACCAGTAATTACGCAAATTATATTTTTGCGGGTTTCACTTTTATTACACGATGTTATTCCTTCACCGTGGAAGTCAATCGTGAACATTTGTTGAGTACGTATTTCATTAGAAAAATTGAAACCCGCCTGCGGGATTCGAACACCGGTGCATCGCTTCAACACGAATGCACCGAACGTCTTATCTTTTAGGCCACGACGACTTCAAAATTGTATAATATATTATGTCAAAGGATTATTAATATAGATTTTTATGTTTTTAATAGATGGTAATGTAAGATAACTATGAAGATGTTGCGGTAAGTATCTAATAGATGGCGCTGTATTCAAAGTTTCAACATTTCATTTATACTCTAATTATTTAATTATTTTTTATTATTACTTTGATGGGTGGGTGGTGCTCTGCCCACTGCCACTTAAATCTTGCAATTCTTCGGGCTACGTCAGTTACCTTGATTCTTCTGCGAATCCCCTCATTATGCATACAGCTTGTTGATAATGGATTTTGCTGCGAAAATGACCTTAATGATAAATATAACTTCTTCTCGAAATAAATATTCTCAAAATTTTTCGAGCATAAATTTATGCCATCTTTGGGTCCCTTATGTTGATTCAATGGTGATGAAACTTAGTACTTACAGTTGTGGTTTGTGCTCTAACGAAGATTTCTATCATAGTACCGTCAAAGTGCAATGGCGTGTGAATAGTAAAAAAAAATCTATGTTTTTCATACAATTATCATCGCAGGACGTGACCTGTGTGCTCAGAACGAGTTTTTAACTTTTTTAACTTTGCCCGTAGTGGGAAGCGAAAGGAAGCTGTTCCAACACCGTACAAAATTGAATTAACTTTTACACAATCGAGAAGTTATAAAACTCGCACTAAGCACACTGGTTTACCTATTGACAAATATTATCACACCGGTAAGAGTAACGCCATCTATCGGCGACTGACCGTAACGAATATCAAAGGATCTAGTAACATCTAGAACTAGAATCTGATGTGAAGCTATCACAATTACAAGCATCAGCAAGAGGCATTGCAAAGGGCCGTCCCAAGCTTCGCAAGCCAGTTTAAATAAGGACTTGCAATTTCCCGTACCCATTATTAGGGATACGAAAAAAGTCATATACCTAGAACTTTAAAGGCAGATAAAAAAAGGCGTTTCCGATCATTTTCTTATATCCATCGAAGCTAGTAAAATATAATTGAAAAAGAGTATCTTGAGTGTTGATTATGTAGGCTATCTAATAATTGGGTAGTGCCCTATAAAGATCTTTGGACCCGCGATCTGCTCCCAATATCTGCTCAGGGTCAAGGCCAACATGCGCCATACACCTCCTTAACGCTAAATCCTCCTATGAGGTTCGGCTCCTTGCCCAAAAATAAACGGTGTACCTAAATAATTTAAAGACTTTTTATTTAAATTAATCAGTTCTATGTGGCTTAACAACATTAACACGATATTAGGGTAAGAAAAGAAAAATGCGGTTTATATAATATTATGTATATTTATAGAAACTAGAGGTCCTGCAGTAGTCGAAATTCGACTATAATTAATTGGAATTGTAAGTTTGTACACTATTATGATTGTATCTTATACTTCCATAATCACAAATTTCGCCAAGACTACACTATAAAAATATTAACAAAGGCAAACAATATTTAATCTATTCTCAATTTGACAACAGACGTCAAGAACAAAAGTTTGACAATAAATAGTATGCATGCGTGTGTGCGTCAAATACATGGTATGTAGTGTGTGTAATGTTTTCTTTATTGATTTAATGTTCCCTTTAAGCAATATTTTAAAAAAATATTATCATTCTGCACTTCTTCCCTATATTCTCAATAAGTGTGGAAAATTTCATACTCCTCCGTCCGCGCAATTT